AAAATGAAAAGGCTTAGCTCCCATGGAAACGCTGCATAGCCACCGGTCTTCAAACCATTGGGCGCCCTATGGTTTGAACAAAAAACAAGACAGATGCAGTGAAATAGCACTTTCCGAGAAGCTTGTTGGGCCGGCCCCGATGGCCAACTTTCTGGGTGATTCCGTGGAATAAAAGGATTTCAAAGAAATATCGAACATTTTAATTGATCTGCGTTTTATAATACCCAGACAATTACAGTCCTCGGGAACATTACGATAAGCTTGGTCGGCAGGGCAAGTTGGTAATTGACATTCATATTAAAAAAAGCGCACAAAAGACAACAAAACAAAGGAGTAGACAGGACAAACGTTAGCGCTTGTCCTGTGTGCTTCGTCTTTTTGTCCCGTCTTTTCTGTGCTATTTTTAATATAAACATTATGATATTTTGCCAAGAAAAACAGAAATTAACAATCTTGTAAATATGACCCGTAGGATACAATGAAAAAAAAATTGTAGAGCTGTTGAATAAATAATATACGCGCCCAAAAGTTTAGCCACTACTTATTGATATTCTATAACTGTCATCTACATCATTTTAAGGAAACATTGCGATGTTTGTTATTGTTCGGTTGAAATACTAATTTTAGTGCATGTGCCGAGGCGTTGATGTCTAAGAAAGTTGGGGGCGATTGGTTGACTTACACTGAACAAGAGTTTGGTTCTAGGTCGCCCTATGATAATCAAAGCTGACATCGTATCCGAACACTTTTCACTCTTATCGAAACTTCTGCCTCAACGAAACTGCATACCAAGAAACGGTAACAACCTCGGGGCAGTTTTTGCTGATAAAAAATTCGTCCAGGGAAAGTCCGTTAAATTGATGCATGAGTACTCACTTGAAACTTTTGCTACAGGTAACACCTTTTAAGAGCAAACAGCGGCGAACGGCCCGTCAAGCCGAATTGTGTGCGCTGCGAGACGCTCTCCACGAATGTTCGCAACGAAACCCATCTCCTGAAAAGAGCGGCTATGGTCACTGGCAGTATCGCTGACTTGTGCGGTACCCACTACAAGTAATCAAAACACTTGTATTCAGTTACCTTTAAAAATGATATTGTAATAATTTGATTACCTTTATTAGGGTGTGATTAGGAGAGTAACCTGATTACTTTTGAAAGTACTAGTATTACTTGTAACAGTTACTATTTGTTCCTCGCCTTCATAACGGCACCCTTTATTTATTTATTTTATTCGCATTGGGTCCTGCTGTGGCCGTTGGGGCATTATAGCAGGGAGAGGGTTACATAAGCGGGTTAAAATACACATGGTGAATACGCCACAGGGCATGATGAGGATGGCAAAACATTCTAGACTCTACCTGTACGAACCAAAACATGATGATTGGCATCATGATACAGTTTGCGCTTTGAAAGGGTGGTCTAGTCTCTGGGACATATAATACGGGCTCGTTAAGTATTTGTCATTTTAATTGGGTTATTATCTGGTCATAAAAAGGGTGTAAAAAATTTTCAACCTCAGGTTCTTCTGCCCGGTTGCTAATAATGGCCAGTTTAGCTCATCTTTCATTGTAGAAACGCTTCGTCGGGATTGGTAATTATTTAATACAAATCCAGCGCTGCGGTTTTGTATTTCTTTTATTTTATCTATTCATTTGTTTTTAGCAGGGTCCTAGAGAACACATGTTTTAATCTAGATCTGATCGAATAAACCTAGAAGTTTTTTTTAGTTGTTTTGTTACAGTACTTAAAGTTTCTTTTGAGGAAGTCCAACATTCTGTTGGACTTTCTTTTGAGTTAGATAATCTACATGTAAGTTCCACGTTAAGTTTTCAGAAAACACGACACCCAAGTAGTGAACGCTTGGCACGCTTTCAAATACACAGTTGTTTATCCTGTACAGATGTCCTGGTGTTGACTTTACAAGTTTTTTAGAGAATCGCATATGTTTGCATTGGTTTACGTTCAGTTTCATTTTCCACTCTGTACACCATTTTTAAAAAAAAAATCTAAAACAGGTAATGTTGCAATATATATTGGTCATTGCCATCACACATTGTTCTATTATACTGTATACAACCATTGGAAAAACAGCCTAACACGAGGGGATATATTTCGAACTATACTATAAACATAAATCTAAAAAAAAAAAGAAGCAACGGTCCCGGCACTGAGCCTAATTGCCTGCGCTGAGAAGGGTGTTTCCACAACCTTCGTACCTGGGAACTATCGAACCAAGTATCCGACAGGGGGACGCCATACCAAACGTAGTGGATTTAGGAGATGAGTAGTTCATGATTCGCTGATTTTAATCAAACAGGCAGGATTCTAATTCAAACAGGCAGGAAGCAATGCCGTTTTGAAAATCTAAAGTAACCGTAAAAGTAACAGTCCCTTTTCGAAGTAGCGGTCAATTACTTTCCCTCTCAAGTAATCAAGGTAATCGAATTCAATACTTTTTAACCAATAGAAATAGTTATTGAAATAATTCACTGTGTTTTAGTAACGTGTACGTGACTGACAGAATAAGAGCGGCAGGGCGTCTCTTTTTAATGTCCGGCGACCAAGCACGACGGAAGGCGCGTTGTCTTCCCCCGTGCTTGGTTGCTCGTGCACGCTCGAGGCTTACGGGGCGCCAAAGCGTTATTGAAGGTGTGCGAACCTCGCGCTGGACGCGGCGCAACTGAAATACCTCACTGTCTTTCTTCTCCTTTCGGTGACTAAAGACTGATTAAGTCAAACGTCCCGACCAGCTTCTTAAGATGAAGGATTGGGCGAGTTGGCTATTCACAGTTGTAGTACAGCGCACAAGAACCATTCACAGTCAAACACGCACACTAGTAAAAAAGGAAAATCAATAATTCAGCATTGACTATCAACTCAGTTTTGTATCCTTTCTTCTTCTACACCTTTGCAATTGTACCACATTTCGTTGTTTTCTCTTTGGTGTTAGGTAAAATAACTAATTTTTGGATAACGTTAACGATTGATTGCTAACACATTTTCCGTCCAGCTTCATAATGTTCTCAAATTCAACCATTTTTCGCGTGAGCTGTTGAAAGTTTCTGCTCATAGCAGTGCAGTTTTTAAGTCTGGTGAGTGACCGCAGTCCCGGCAATGAATGCCTATATGTCAAGAATTTGCTTTTTTGATGCTGTTGTGCTCTCTTAAGCGGTCATTTGCACATTTACCAGTTTGTATTATATATATATATATATACCGGGTGTTTTTGCGAAGACTTTCAAAAATACTAAAAGTTAGGGCAATTGAAAAAAGAAGAAACTCTCTTCGGGAACAAACTACCAGCCACGGCGGACGTCAGGAATTGCCAAAAACCTACTAATTAGCCAGATAATTAATTAAATCTTGTTAATTAACTTTTTAATTAGTGGAAATAGACATATGATTCCAATTAGAAAGTTGCTGAGCGTTATTGAAAACCACTAAATCAGTCATTTTCAGAAAGACTTTAAGCGCTTGAGAAGAGTAGTAGCGCACTAAAATTATCACTTGTGGAGCAGGTACAAGGCTGGGGCTAGATAAGAGGCGGAAAAATCGCGCGGGCGCCTTACCGCAACCGCTAGCCTTGTACCTGCTCCACGAGTGGTAACTTTAGTGCGCTACTACTCGTCTCACGCGCTCAAAGTCTTTCTGAAAATGACTGATTTAGTGGTTTTCGATAACGCTCAGCAACTTTCTAATTGGAACCATATGTCTATTTCCCCTAATTAAAAAGTTAATTAACAAGTTTTAATTAATTATCTGGCTAATTAGTAGATTTTTGGCAATTCCTGACGTCCGCCGTGGCTGGTAGTTTGTTCCCGAAGAGAGTTTCTCCTTTTTTCAATCGTCCTAATTTTTAGGATTTTTGAAAGTCTTCGCAAAAACACCCGATACGAGAGGGAAATAGAAAAGACCACTCTTTCTGTGCACGGAATGAAAGGGATTTGATGCTTTCTGGTGCTGCCTGTACCATGATTTTGGGAAGAGCTGACTTTTTCTTTTTTTCCAAAACCCTGAGAGTTTGTTGGGGGATGAAAAGACTACATTTACATTCACACGGTGTCCTATTTTCCTGAGATTGTGTGAGATGTTATGAATACAAGGTGTAACTGGTAGCCTTTTAATTCTGTCTCTTGAATTTCCCGCAATACGTTCACCATTCTCGACTTGTTGAAGGAAATTGTCAGCTACAGAATTTAAAGAAGTGCGGGTGTATCCCGCTTGATGTGGCCTAGATATTTGTATCTCAAAGCGTATCACGGGCTACGTTCACAGAGCAGGATTGGCTAGGATAACTCGTAGTATAGTAAGTTTCTTATATTCTTACACATATTGTATTTTATTGTCTTATAGCGTTCTTACATGATCCTATACAATATTATTTGAGTATATAAGTTTATTGAACCAACAGATTTCTTTTACATATAAGAATTTTTACTATAAATGTTTGCTATATCCCTTTTTGCCAACTTTGAATGTGCCGAATTAAATTTAAGGAACGGCACATTATACATGCTTGCCGCATCCTTGACTGTTTTCGATCGGAGCAAAAAAAAAAAAAAAACTAGCTGATTTGCATGCAAAATACTATGAGCTTTTCCCAACTTCATCATGGTGTGTAGTGGTAGTACAAAATATGACGTTTTGTTTTGATGGATGCAAACGATTATTTAATAAAACAACAGAGAAGGAAAGAGATCAAGAATAGCATCGGAGTCAGGGAGATTATCTCATGGAACGCTAAGGAAGGCGGTAAAAATGATAAATGATCCAGAATATTTGGTGATATTATCTAACCACTTTATGTATTATTGTACCTGCTTTTCTCTTTCTTTTGCAACCTCAGTTTTCTTTCACGATAGCGATTTGTGGCACCGCAGGTAGGCACATTACTCGTAATGACTCCGCTCATAGCAGGCGTCTTCTTCATGATGAAGAACAAACCGATACGAGTGTAGTTAACGCCAGACTGCTATGATTAGACAATATTTAGTCATAAAATGCAGAAGGTGTCCGGCAAGGGTATCCAGCATCCGAAAGTTTGAATTGGCGTAGAAATTTACGCTCTAAGTTTGATTTAAAATTAGGGTGCAATTATACAGATATTACTTCAAATGTTTTTACCTTCCTAAAATCACAAATATTCATTGCGTCCGGCACAGGTCACGCGTAAAACTTTTAGGCGTTATTTCAGCTCGTGCCACGCGCGGTGTCGCATATCTGCAGCGATTTGTGCCATATAAGTTTTCATCACTTACTTGATGTCTTTTAAGGAATCTGTTAAAAAGCACTTCAGCGGCTGACCTTAAATACTCGATTAAGAGATTAAAAGCTGCCGTTGCATACATACATCCGTGCGTGCACGAGCTGCGATATCGCCAGGACGTCTTGTGGGCTATCAATAGCACACACATTGAATGCTTGTGAAACCATAATGAGAGAAAAAATCTTTACGATGAGATTTATACCTAATTTCAAACATAAAAAAAATGTATTTTTAGACACCTGTATGACAAACTGCAAGAATGATAAACCGTAGCGGCACGTGCGTTCTTGCGGCATAGTGCGCCCACGTGTGACAGAAATACACGACATGAAGTCTCGTTGTTGTGTGTACTGCTGAAGTGTTCCTTAAGCAGACTGGAAACAATTCAAAACTGCAAACAACTAAAACCGCGGTTACGCTGCGAACAAATCATACAAAAGGCAATCTGCACACTGGCTGAGGCGCGTGCCTTTAGTTTGTGACGGTCTGTCAAAGTGTTCACAAGAAAGCTGTCGTCAGATATGTTCTAAACACACGTATGTATAAATCAAACAAGCTTTCAAACATGCTTGGGGAGTGTCCGCATGTATTTATATCGTACATGTCTGCAGCGACAACGTGATTTTTGTTTTGTATGATGCCCGAGCAGTGGAACTATACGGTAATTAAGGGCATTTAAAACTAATGAAAGACAGTGACAAATGCTGCCTATCGAATGACGCACTGCACCTCTTGATCTCCAGGACAAAACTGCTTCGGCGGCATCGAGAGCTTCGAGAAGACCACGGGCCTGGCGTACTCAGGAAGCGTGAGCGGCCAGACGCTGCTGCAACAACCAGACCAGGCCCTGACGCGCGACTGTATCAACCTGTGCAAGCAGCAGGCTCAGTGCCTTTCCTTCTCCCTCAACTACGTAGGATTCCGCTGTGCCGCCTTTAACCTCAACTCGGCAGGGCGCAGGGACCTGCTGGTCACGACGCCCAGCACCAATTACTTTGAGAAGATATGCTTTCGAGGAGGTGGGTTTTCCAGACTATCCTTGGCACTATAGTCAAGTTAGGTGGTCGAGATTATGGCCACGCAACTTTGAGAATGAGCGTTATACTAGACGATAACATTGCCTAAAATAAGACGTTAACTTTGCGGGACTGTAAAAGTCGGAACCATAAACAGGACCATAAGAAACAAGGGAACAGTGCCGAGTGTAATATTGTGGGGTTTGTTAGAACTTGTACTCTTCCATGTGTAAGAATATGTTTCGGCTGCTCTGAAGATATGCAGGAGTCATGTAACTAGCACATTTAAACAAAGTTTGCACTGTCTGCATTTCATTTACACTATCCCTGTTTTTTTTTTTTTTTTTTAACGCATTTTTTGCCCCTGTGCAATCATAAACCAACCGCCTCACATCGCCGCCCTATGATCTGTAACTTTTGTACGACATCTAAATCGGACATACATTTTAACTGCACTATCATTATTCACCTATGCGTTAAGGAGTAGCCGGCAAATAAGAGACAGCAGCAATGTTTCCTATATATTCTTTCTTTGTATAATAATAATAAAAAAATACAAAAAAATGCATAGGATACAGAGATACGCAACTCTTAACGCTCTTTCGCGCCCCACACACACACACACACACACACACACACACACACACACACACACACACACACACACACACACACACAAAAAGGTATAGCAAGTTTTGATTCGCTTTGCCCATTCAAGATGAGACTATAGAGTGTTCCAACCACGTGAAAGGTAATGTTTCTTTTCTTTAGTTTTTTACGCCTTGCACTGCATTTTAAATGGGTATTTCATATTTTTCGAGACTGTACTAATAAAAGTAGAGAGCCTTATTGAAGTTTGAGACAAACTACACGGGGCATTGACTATGATCCGAGAACTTTGAGGATGGGGAAGAGACGAGGACGCGCGGGAACTTCGAAACGCCGAGTTTTGGTTCGAATGATTAGCGGGCAGACCTAAAGCTTGCTGCCTTTGCCCCCACTGCATTCTTTCAAACGCGTTCCAATGCGAGAGCCAAACGCTGTACGCCGGCCTTTGGCGTTCTAATAGGTTCGAAGAGTGCACTGCAGCTTTAGGTCTACACACTCATCATCACGCACTCCAGTGCACTGCAGCTTTAGGTCTACATAGTCATCATTCCAACCAGAGCTCGGCGTTCTGACGACCTCGAGCGGTCTCGTCTCCTGCTCTTCCTCAGTTTGTCGGCGCATATCAACGTGTTAACCGCTACGACACTTACCCTGGCTCTGCCCATTAACAAATGAACGCGTCCCATGGAACGCAGTTCAAAAGGCAACATTCGACGCTCTCTGCGGTGACCGGCTGTGGGCCTTCGAGCGGGCCAAGGAGGGCCATCTGGAGGGCTTCGTGGACCGCGAGGAACACAACGTCAAGGACAAAGAGGAGTGCGCCAAGATGTGCCTCCTCGAGGACAACTTCCCGTGTCGTTCGGCGGACTACGACGAGGTGACCAAGACGTGCCGGATGAGCCGGGAGGACCGCCGCTCCCAGCCGCAAGCCTTCCGGCAGGTGCCAGGGAACTCCAGAGACTACCTGGAGAACCAGTGCTCCGCCACGGGTAAGGCCTCTTTCTGTCTGCACACCAACGCGCTCTTTGCAAGCAAGCCAGCGTTTGCTCACCACACCAGGTGTGCGCGCAGCGCTAGTGCGCAGAAACTAGATTTGCGCGAGAAGTGTCTGCGCACGCGCAAAGCCGACGTCAGCGCCATCGCAGTGGTGTGTCGTCAGAACCGCCCGTTGGCGTATACCAAAAGAGAGAAAGAGAGAGAAAGAAAATCATTATTAAAAAGAATGAGACAAATCATATTTATTTTAATTTAATCAGATTAGTCTGATTGAAAAAAAAAAAAGTCGCTAGAAAACCGGAAATTTTTTTAGCAGAAGACGTATTTTTAAATATGGCAAATTGATTGATCAACGCATCCGATCACTGATTTCAATGCGTACGAATTACTGTAACTTTGAAATACAGTTTAATTAGCACACTTTTATTTGTGTGATTCCCGTAATACTAAAATAAAGCCAGTTTGATTATCTTTTTTATTTAGTGGAAAAGCTTTCATTGATTTTTATTTCGTGTTCTGACTTGATTCCAATAATACATTTCTTTTTCAGTTTTTGTTTCTTTCTTTTGCGTTCTGATTTTGTTACCAGTAGGACGTTACGTAACTCACGAACAATGTGGACGGCAGAAAACAAGCTAATCGCTCCGATTTGATCAAAACAAACTTATTTTTGCTCGCATTCAGCCTTGTATGATTTAAATCACGATTTAAATCACTTTGATTTTTATTCTTCACCCTGGCGTATACTATAAGATTGTAGCACTACTTGGATTTTCTTGGAAATTATTTTAGAACAAACTTGTTGATCTTGCGCTTATAAAAAAAATGGCGTAATAATCAAATATTCGTTTTTTTAGAATTCGGGATAATTGTGGAAGCGAGATACCGCCGATGGCAACTTGTTCAGCCATTCAAAAAAATTCAACGCGCAGGCGAGAAAGTGATGCATGATCATGCTGAAAAACAAAACGGAGACGAGGTCACGTCGTCGTGTAAGCAATCCATTTCAATTTGTTGTTTATTTTATTAAGTGAAGAATTGGATTTCCTATTTTCAGACCGGCCGCTTCAAATCAAGGAGTGGATAAGATGCATGAAATCTGGTCTTCTAATACTTAATTAGTACCTCTTTTTGTCTTTGTCGTCAGTTATTTCTAACAAGGTACGTTTATGTCAGTAGGTGTCTTTTTACGAATTTGTATTACGTAATACGGGTATGTTAGTGCGTTCTGGGTATTGATCACTTTAAAATGGATTTCATTGTTTAACACTGAAATAAAAAATAAAACGGTTAAAATATAATTTATGTGTTTAATATACATATAATTAACAGACTGTAAAAGGGACGCAGGTGGCGTAGTGCGATATTACCGTATTTACTCGAGTTCGCTTTTCCGCGAGGTTCGCTCTTCCGCGAGGTTCGCTTTTCCGCGAGGTTCGCTTTTCCGCGAGGTTCGCTTTTCCGCGAGGTTCGCTTTTCCGTGAGGTTCGCTTTTCCGCGAGGTTCGCTTTTCCGCGAGGTTCGCTTTTCCGCGAGGTTCGCTTTTCCGCGAGGTTCGCTTTTCCGCGAGGCACACGGATGGCCAGTCACCGCGTTCGACAGCATGATTCCAGCGGTTCAGAGGACAGAGATAACGTCTTCGTGCGAAGATACTATCGGTGAAGGTTGCATTTGTATGGAGACTCTTGTTCTCGATCTAGTTATTCTCTATGTTATTTATGCGCAACGCGATAATTGGCTGTATGTGTGCTTTGAGGGAAATTAGAGGCAAGGGCCTTGTTTATAAATATTGCGGCGATTATTCGAGTGAATACGGTAAGCACAGAGTCACGCCTGTGCACGTACAAAGGTGTGGCGTACGCGCACGGATGTCGGTATGTGATCGTAATATTTATAAGCGCAAACGGCCACGAGACGGGCATACAAATGCACATATGCGCAAATATTGGGTCCGGACATTTCACTAAACGCAGTTTCATCGAACACCGTTTCATCGAACACCGTTTCATCGAAGCCGTTTCATCGAACGCCGTTTTATCGAACGCCGTTTCATCGAAGCCATTTCATCGGACGCCGCCTATGTGAGCACTAGGAATTCTACATCTAGGAAATATTATTCTTTTTAACGCCGGGAGGATAGCAGTGTGTTAATAATTTATAAACTTATATAAAAGGAAGAAACCTTTTTTGTCACCTTGTATTATTTTTTGTAGTAAATGATGACGTCTGTTAATGTGGCCAATAAGAAACGGGAACACTGACGACACTTCTTTAAAGCTGTGATCATCATCAGTGGCAATTATAAACGCACGTCCGTTGAAGGACGTATACATCTTCGTCATTGAAGAGAACTATTCTGCTTCAAGACGAAGCCGTTCTTGAAGCAGCGATCTGTCTTCGTGTCCCATGATACGGGGGGGGGGGGGGGGGGGGCGGAAGACGTGTTTCCCCTTTTTGTTAATTTATTATAACAGACAGAACCATGGACATGCCGGATATTCGACATAACAGTATATATACTGCATGTCGAAGATCCAACAGGTTCACGGTTCTGTCGGTTACTGTAAATTAACGAAGAGGGGAGACGCGTCTTCTTTAAGGACATATAGGTTCTTAGAAAGAAAGCTATTCTCCTAGGATAAAATTAAAACACAGTTAAAACGACAAATTCAAAATAAAAAAGGCGCGCTTCATCCTTCTATAAAAAAAGGATAAAGTGGGAAAAAGTGTGCGGCCGAGAACAGCCTCCTACCTCGACAGAAAATAATAAGTCTCGTGTCCACTCAAGTTTTGATATGATAGCTACCTTCTATGATTCAGTAGCTAAACGTTTAGGTGGACAAAAAATTGACCGGGTAGCCATTCTATTCCTGGTGATTTTAGAGCGGCGTCAATACTATTTAAACAAACGATAGTAAATTATGTAAAAAGTATTGTATTACTCCAAAATTCAGTAAAAGGAAATTCGATGAAACGGCGTTCGAGAATCGGCGCTGGATGAAATGTCCACTTATTCGATGGAAGGACGTACGACGAAATGGCGTTCGATGAAATGTCCGGTACCCCTAATATACACATTCAAGTGCACAAATACAAACATTCACACGTGCAGAACTCCACAAGCGTGTATGCAAACATACATGCACGCAGCACACATTGGCAGACTTCCAAACAGAAAGAAACCCACACACGAATAAGAGAAGCGCACAGAAAAAAAGAAAATGGTGTCACACGTCAGTAGAGGTTGATGCTCAAGGATTTTTTTTGGGGCTGGACATTCATTTAAGGAAAACAAAAACGGGGTAACGGTGCCGCAGACAAAAACGAATAAAAAAAAAAGAAAAAAGAAAACAGGTCGGGCATTGAATGGCAAAGGGCTGTCCCACATGGACACGCGAGACAACAGCAGCTGCAGAATCTCATCTCTTCCTGTTTCCGCGGACGCACATTGCTGGGGGCCGGTATCACTCGGACAATCCGTCTGGCCGCTATACTTCGTTTCACCGTAGCTTGGCAAAGAGTAAACGCTAGGGCCCCCTTGAGCCAATCGGAACAGCGAAGGCGAAGCCCGCACCAAAGGTGCAGTGACGAAGAGGGGAAGGAGGGGAAGGAGGAACTCCCTCTTTACTCGGACCCTCTCTTGCGATGTCCCAGACGACGCTTCTGTCCCCACTGGGAGATTAGCCCGTCACCTCACAAAGTTCGTACAAAAGCGGTTTTCCTCTCTCTCTCTCCCGCCCGTGGCTTTAACAACACTGCGCGCAACAGGTGAGGTATAGGGTAGGGTCACGTGTCTCCCTCTGAAGCGGCTGATTGGCTCCCTGGGGCCGTAGCCTTCGCCGTTTGCCAAGTCACGGTGGGTCGGAGCATATAAAGGGTATCCTGTGTTCACGTACTCGCGCACACATACGCCATGGGAAAGGCACGGGGGAAAGCCCGTTATGGTTGCGTGTGTTAACGCCGGCCGCTCCTCCAGCCGCAAGGTGGATGAACGCTTTGTAGTGAATTGCGTTGCAGCGTAGGCGGACCGATGGAATGCGCTGACGCACCGTGTGAACGCTGTTTTCTAAAGGCGCCGAAGACCTTGGAGTGAGGTCGTTATATACGTGGAGGTCTCTTTTTGATGGGGGCCGGGATTTGTGATGTTAGCGTATCAGGGAGGACACTGTTCTCAATAGGGCAAAGGAGGATAAATGAGAGCGCGTTCCCAGACAGTTCATAAACGGGGTAGCAGCACGTTACTTTAAGGTTACTTGGCCTAAACCAAGGTGCAAAAAAAAAAAAAAAAAAAAAATCTCGATTAAAAATATAAATTAAGTTTATTTGATCAGATTCATTCAATTTAAATCAAATTTATTTTAGTTAAATTAGATTATTTTAATTGAAATCACCTTAGCTAGTAAATAGTGATTTTTTATCACTAGATTTGTTTTTAAACGTGGCACATTGATTGATCGATCCGTCTGATCACCGAAAACAGTGAGAATGAAAGTATTTTTTGTAGCTTTAAGTACAGTTTAATTAGCAACATTTTATTGATGTAAGCCCAACCATACTAAATATAAAGCAACTTGATATTTTTTAGGTATTTAAAAAGGCTTTTGCTTTTTTTTATATTCGCGTTCTGATTTGCTTGCAATAGGATGCTGCGTGACTGACGAATGAAGGGCAAGGTAGAATTCCAGCTCAACGCTCCGATTCGCTTAGGAAATCACTTCGTTTTGCTCGTGTAGAGCCTTATAGAAATCATTTTCGCTCGACGAGTCTTTGATATAAATCAAAGACTCGTCAACCATTTGTCTTAATGAAGCTCACCTTGTTCCCCAGTTTGGAAACAAATACCCCCGTGATGTGCTTCTGCCACATGTTCGTGACTGTGCTTACAATGTATTACTGTAGAGGATGTGTCACAGCGCGGTCAATGTAGCCCATGTAGTACCATATTTTATTTACTATACTCCGCGAACTGCATATGCTTAAAATTTTATAATTTAAGTGGTAACGGGCTATACAATGTAGCCTTTGTTTTTTCTAGATCTTTTTCTTTTACAAAACGTGACGGATTTTGAAAATGTCAATGTGTTATTGATGATTTATGTATGATACACGTTTTTTATCGCCTAATAAAACAGGCATTTGTCAAGGTGTGCGTTGTATGAGAATATTTTACGTACGGACTAGTCGCCACGGGGTGCACACTATGCATTAGGTCAGAACTATCTAGGGAAAAACTTTTCCCTAGATCTCCGCACTTTGGCCCGGAAAATTCGCTACATGCTTGTCAGAGCGTACATGCTGCGTGACTGTGCAGTCAATATACGAACATCGATAAGCGTGTCTTGAACGAAAAAGTTCGCTTTTCTCCTTGCGAAGATATTCAGATGTGCCCTTTTGGTGCTAATGACTCTTTCCAAAAGTGCCAAGTAATCGGTGAAGAAAACCCAATTTCTCCGTTACCAAAGATGTAACTCTGGTTGTAGAGCAATTGTCTCCATGGAGCCAACTGCTCCATGGGGCAGTTGGCTCCACTGGTTATGGGAGCAGTAGGCTCCACGTAAGAGCACAAATGTTGATGGTCTGCCTCCTCCAAACTCCAGCACCGACGTCTTGTCGGTACGAGACTCGCGTGGGCGTCGGCGTGGTGTCCATGGACCTCCTGCAGTTCGCCACGGCCGTGGATGACTGCCAGACGCAGTGCGACCGGGAGACCACGTTCAACTGCCGGGCCTACTCGTACATGGAGAACCGGTGCTACCTGAGTGGCGACGACACCGTCAGTCTCGGACCGAGCGGGCTGCCACCCATGACCAACGCTGCCTACGGGGAAAAGAAGTGCATCACTGGTGAGGTTTCTATTATAAGCACTGCTCTGAAGTGAGCCCCGCGGAATAAACGTTTTCAGTGGTGTTTCCCGGGCATGCACGAGCCCTTTTTCGAATAGCGTTGGAGGCTCGTAGATGCTTCGGAGGGAAGGGGGACAGGCGAAATGTCAGCGGGAAAGCTACTTTGGTCGTCGTTTTGCTCATAAAGGATCTTAAGCCCATGCCACAGTAGGATATGCCTTTTAAATGGTTCAAATTTGTTTACGTTACAAAACGGCTCATTGACAAACAAGCTTCATATAAGATCATAGGATGGCGCCCTGTTTATCTAGAATGCTGGTAGAAAGCCTAGATTAAATAAAAAAAGGAGCTGCTCAAACTGTTCGAAGTGTTTTCAATTTAATGGCGGGCACATCTTGAGCAGATTCGTTGCTCAGGCGCATGCTTGGGTTGTACGCTGTAACGTAACAAAGAGGATAACGGTTGGCGAGGCTTAGTAAGGCTCAGAGACACTTGCAGTCGATCGACGCTTTCTTCATTTCCTCGCAGATTGTATTGCCCACGTGACCCATAAACCGCGTAACCCATATCGAACAGATTGGAAGTACTCTCAAGTTTAGGCACACTAAATGCTGGCTGATAGCAGACGACGATCGCGTCGTTTGCCCGCTGAGGTGAGACAGCTAGCTTGAAGAGCAGCCTCCGAAGTAAGTTGCTACGAACGCCGCCAGGTGCCGTCTTTATACGAAAAAGGTCTACTCCTTATAGACCAGTGTCCGAAATCCTAGCCCCCAACAGTAAAAATGAGAAATAATAATCTCAAACGCAGGCTTCGTAAAGAGAGGGGCTGCGCATGAAACAAGATTTTTGCTCTTTACAGCGCTCTTGTCATCGGTGTTGTTCCTGGAGCTTCGTGACTATGCATTTCTGACGTTCTTGCATCACGAGATGTGCGAAGGTTCCTAAAAAAATCTAGGTCTTTCAAAAAGCGCAGCCGCCTACTGTGTCATGGCGTCAGCATAAACAGACATGGCGCCGCCCATAGAACAAAGCAGACACTGGTCTATATTGCCACTGTCAGCTTCACAGTAGCAGATTGCGGGCAGCCCAGATCATTTTACTAAGACCGGGCAGATCACGACCTTTCAGCTTTGTGGGATGTCTCGTGCTGCTGTCCGCCTCACAGAATGACACAACGCTTTGGCTCAACGAGACGTAGTCATTTATTGACTTCCATCGTAGCCCAACGCAACGCCCCCCTCCCCCTTTTTTGTTTTAGCATACTTACACGCCTACTTTTTATCAACCACCAGGCTACCCACAACTTCACCCTAAATGAAAAGTTAGGAGAAATTCACAAAGCGACAAACGTCGTCACGATAATAAGCCGCTTCCAATCGTTCACACCACTTGCCATTTTTAAAGGGTCATGATACGATATAGAGTTACAATGTTCATGACTTTGCAGAGGCATACTGGTCCTGGTCTGGCGCAAGTATACTCGCACAGACCGTCACTGATCCAGAAGCTTCTTTGTAGCCTTGAAATTTGGAGGATAAAAGGGTACCACAGGAAACGCCATGATCAGTTTGATATAGCAAGTAGTTCGATATAGGAAAAACCATTTACAACGAACTTCCACGATGCGTTCGTTGTAAGGCGAGAGCTTCTCTTTCTTTTTCATCTCTTCACTTCCGCCTTTCAACATCGCGCTTATTTTTAATTTTTTTTTTGCAGTTCTTTTTTCGCTTATCTTCGTTTTTGAATTGCTTCTCTTCGTAAGCAAACATTTCGGTATGAAGAGGTTTTTTTTTTTACTGTGCGTGCGTGCAGAGTGCATTTTTTTAACTTTCTGTCCTTCTGAATCGCTTCTCTTCGCTCAATTTTGTTCGCAACTTGAGGTTTTAGAATTTTCATCCTTTCCTACTTCTTTTTTGGTGGAAGGGACAGGCTGTAAGGCGATTGTTTGAGCGTCTTTAGAAACCCTCCCAGGTGGGAAAAGTTCGATATGACCAATATGTTGTTCGTTATAAAAAGTACTTTTTACATGCATTTTTATTAAAATTTTCCGTGAGTTCGATATTGACAATAATTCGCTGTACGTGGGTTCGTTCTAAATGGGTTTCACTGTATTTCTTTTAATCTTGACTTCACGAAGCTCGATGACGTAATTGTGGGATCGAAACCACCCGCCTGACGACAGTCGAGCGCGGCACATGGATTGGACACGAGAATTGTGTGAACACTCGACTTCAGCTCGTAACAAACAATGCCTAATCGGACACAGGGTTAGTGGCTCGTGCCCAACCACTACTGTGATAAGAATAGCCGAACTCTAACAATGCCTGGAACTCAGAACGCGTTTTCTAGTTTGCCAACCCCAGCGCGTGGGTTTGAGTAACGTTGGCGACTTAGGATAGGCACCAGGCCACGTGACCGCTTGTTCTGGCTGTGAGTTGAGGGATAAACGAGGCTCATATTTCTCGAATATTCTAGGCGACTGCCATTTGGCTAGAAATAAAAACCAAGGCAGTTCGATTCGGCTATTAACGTGAGGGAGTGATTCTAGGCAGTATTTAACGAAGGTAGAAAAAATAGCTTCATGGCCTTTTTAAGTTGTGAAGTGTCAGCTTGAATATCTTACCTACCTTCTTTTCACAGTGAATCAATCTTTGTTTTCTTGCCCTCACAGAACAATGTACCCTGGGCGTGTTCACCTACGAGAAGATGACGGGCTTCGTGATGAGGTCCGCCGCCCGCACGGCCATCCCCCTGTCGAGTCCCGGCGCCCTGGGCAACACCCTGGAATGCCGGCAGTTCTGCCAGATGGCCGGCCTGGATTGTCCCTCGTTTAGCGTCAATTACCAGAACATGCGCTGCGACAAGCTCGACCGGAATTCCCAGGGTCGCACCCAGGAGCTCAGTCCTCGGGCCGGAGAGAACTACTTCGAGAAGATATGCCTCCGAGGTGAGAAGCTCTGCGCTCCGCTGCAAAGAGTTGACGTGCCATTCCCCGTTTCTTGGCTATGAATGCATCGCGACCGGCTGCTTTCTCTTTGCGTTCGTGTATGTGCGTGCGGGTTTGCCGAGCCGTACGGATCGATAGCTATATTCCGCTGCAATGCTGCGCACGAAGGGGTTGTGATGGGCCGGGTGAACCTAAGAGACGGAGGGTAGGGTAGGTCCGGTTATTGACATTCATTAAGAATAACGTCTTAAGCCGAGTTTTGAGCTTCGCGTTATAACTCTGCAGCTAATGAGATTGCGACAGTAGCCGACAAGATGGCCGAAGAAGGAATCCTGGAAGTCAGAAACGCAAGGAGCACGAAAAGCTTTTCTTAAGGTACATGTGCGTGACTATGCGAAGAGCAAGTCGCCTGCTTCTTGCGCAGGACTGGTGGTGACGTCAGAACGACGCCGAGCTCTGATTGGCTGATTGAACAAAAAAATCAGTGGGTAGACCTCAAAGCATCGAGCATTGAGGTCTACCCACTATTTTTTTAATCAGCCAATAAGAGCTCGGCGCCGTTCTGACGTCACCGCCACTCCTGAGCAAGAAGCAGACGATTTGCTTTCTGCATATGATGAGACCCTCGATCTTTCAAAACCAGACTCGTTGTCTCGCTGAGTCGCGACGTCAGATGCAGTTTTAACGGAGCGGGGTGTTGCAAGAAACAACATATAACTCGACAGACGCGCAGCGTCACATATGACGAGATGGAGCGACGGACGAGATAAAGAAAAGACGAATTCGTTTGACCTTCAGAGCCGTATGGGCACGTGAAACAGCTGATCGTACGGCCAAATAAATCAGTGGCCTTATGAAATGAATCATTTTGCAGACTAATAAACTAAAGCGTGTTTACACGTTAGAGCACAAAAATACTTACGCGCAACAAAGCTTTTGCTAACTGACATAGAGCGTCGAATGATCACCTGGAAATCGCTTCCTCGGTGATCATTCGATCCCTAGTGTCAGCTAAGAGGTAACGGGACCGATCGAGCAGCATCAAAAGCGCACGTCGCTAGGATTTTTTTCTTTGTGATTGGTTCAGCGATGATAGGACACGCACAGAAATATGACGAACACCGTGAGGATGGGCTTTTGAAGCTGCCTGATTGGTTACATCAGCTCGTAGCGTCGGCTGCGCCTGTACTTACGTGAAACAGTATAGCAGGTCTTTCTACATATAAATAAATCAGTAGAGTAAAGAGTAGATCATGACAGGGTTTTTCTAAAAAAAAAGAAAAAACTAAAAATAAAACTTTAATAACCTGAAACTATGATTGCAACGTGCTGAACATCATGAAGAGATCAGGCTGCGCACATTTCTCGAGGGCTGTGGACACATCCGAGGGGTCTAATATTTCTTAGAAAAGAACTACTGCGCGTGATGAAAATGCGTCTCAGAGCCCAATAGGCAGAGATGGCAGGAGGCTATTATTGACGCAGTCTAAAGACCTGTCCAGCGCTTATAACCTGGGCGAAAAATGCTGATTCACTTAGCTGTTATCACGTGCACAGTGTCTGATATACGCACTAACCTACTTCGCATGTCATGAATGCGTTCCACAGCCCAGCAGACAAAGACGGCAGCGCGCAGAAGCCGATTTTTTAAAAAGGTTTATAGACCGTACCAATATTGACCACCTGCGGACTACTACCTTTGAATATTGGGCTATGGAACGCTTTCCGAGCATGCGTAGTAGATCTCTCCCGCGGAATACCAGACACAGCGCACGCGTTCACATCCCAGTCAGTCAGCATTTTTTTTTTGCCCGTGTGAGAAGCGCTGGAAATGTGTATTGGCTTGGTACATGTTGCCGACTCGAATCCATTGCTGTGGCTTTTCTTTTTTTAGGCAACTTCGCGACGGCGTGCCAAGGCAAGGCGTGGGCCTTCGAGCGGGTGCTGGGCCTGGAGTTGGTGCCGACGCTGTACGACAAGTCGTTCGCGCACGTGCAGAGTCGCCGTGACTGCGAGGAGTACTGCCTGAACGAGCAGACGTTCGACTGCCGCTCAGCCGTGTACTTCGACGACACGGCCGAGTGCAGGCTGAGCAGGCACGACCGCAGGACCCAGCCGGACGGCGTGATCAAGAGCTCCAACCCCAGGATAAACTACCTCGAGAACCAGTGCCTCGAAGGTACGCAATTCTGCAGGGAACAAAGAAATAGCTGAGAGGTTTAGGCTCGATGAATTAGTGCCAGCTGGTAATGTTACAAGAGTAAACGGAAAGCAGCAGCAGGCTCTGTCATTGTCCTTTTGTTTGCATTCCCTTTGTTCTTGTGCGTTCCAGTCAGGTGTGGGCAATTATTTTATGCCACCGCTTCCTTACATCATTGTGATTTCGTGCTTTTTTTTTGGTCATTGAAGCTGCGCAGTGTTAGCATCTGTTGTTATGGCTCTATTCAAGTTACGATATCAGGCGAAATGACACGAACTTTATGTTCACCAAAGATAGATGGCCAAACCACAACTACTGCAGAAGGCTAGGTGGCGCAAGCTACCGCCCCTTACAAAGTGTACAGCCGTTATCATCCATCCATCCGCGCTGTCTGACGATGATTTGGGTTCTCCATTTAGTAGCTACGACGTAGTACTACGGTTTCTCAAACGCGTCTCCCACAGGTGTGTTTACCGCGGCCAAAAAAGTGATTCCTCCATTTCCGACTGATGGTGTCATGCAAATGTCACGCTGTTGCCGTCCGCGATTCTAGCGGTGTAACCACAGCGGTGGTGGTTGCGGCCGACGCCTGTTCTGCCGCAGATCCATCCACAGCCTGACAGTCCACTGAAGCTTCGGCAGTCCGGAGTTGGGACGCCACAAGTACAGCGACACTCGCGTACGCTCGTTCTTTTTGTCGGTACTTCTGGCGTCAACCGCCAGTGCATGGGCAGGATAGGGCGCTAAGCACACCGGTCGGACGCGCGTTTCAGGCAACATAGTAGTATTAACATATAGTGTGTTTAGATCAAAATCTGTGCGTCTGTCAGGTGTACATACTTCAATATTAAAATCACAAAAAAAGTCAAAGATGATGGTTAAATAAGCTATCATGTACTTTTGCTGAACAGTCGTACAATATATATATTCTTCAGTATCGATACAAACTGGATTTTGACAAGATGCGTGGATTTTTCCTTATATTGTTTGGAACTCTTTTATAAAGCTATGTTTCTTTTATATATTATAATTTTGTTCGTCACTTCATTGTAGTCTCGGAACGGGTTGGTAACATTTTTGTGTTGCATGAAGAATTAGGCCGCGCTCTGTCGTGGTACATATATCCCTTAAAGACCCATAATAACGATAGGTCTTGTTGGAGGTTCCCTTTCGTATCTTTTTTTTTTTTTTTTATTTTTCGAGCTAAACTCGAACTGAAGGTCAATACAATTAAAAGTCTACAATGAATAAACCATTAGTACTTTTATAAGTCTTAGTTTGGGAACTTAATCAGCAGCGTTAGCTACCCGTATTTCCACTCTTAAATACAAAATGCATATTCTGATTTTCCGGTACCTTCCACACATCACACATTGGGATTCAATTTTTTTAGAATTTAATTATGCATTCATAGTAAACAATTAAAGAAAAATGTTATATTTCAGGGTTCTGGAAAGCGCTTGCTTATGTTACATCTTAAGATTTGTTTTTGTAAAACATCATTGTTTTACGTTTATATGTCGTTTAAATAATTATAATTAGACTCCGTTCTTGAAATATTTCGTTGGTTCTTTGCCTACATAAGGCAGATGTTGTTTTGATATCGTAATACGGTATGGAATTAAAAAATACAAAATTTATTGCGACAAGTGTTTTTTTTTATATACTGTATCTAAAAAAAATTTGGCAGAATCTGTAAGTTACCTAACTCTTTGGTCCTTAAAAATACTCAAATGCAACCGCACAATAGCGCAACCTGATTTTAAAAGTATAATCGGCAGAGCAGGGTGTACTTGATTTTAGTGCATGCTTTGTGTGTTTTCTCGACTTATACTTGACCAAATTATGTCGTACAACGAAAACGCTATTAAAGTGGCCGTGGAACGCTTTTTTCAACTTCGTCCTCCTTAGCTTTAATCCTGACCTCAGAAGCGAGATGTGAAATCCTATGGTCGTGGCGTGCTTGTGGTGCACAAGCTTCCAGCGTGCCTTTTGAGCACACCATAGAAAAATTGCGTTTTTTTGCATGCTTATACAGCCTGAAGTTACCGCTCATTTACAATGGAAGCTGATCCGCGTTCGCAAAGCGGTTGCGAACGCGGTTGTATAAAGATCTAGCACAATTGCACGCGCACTTGGTGTCATCGAGTGCGCGTGCAATTGTACTGGATCTTGATACAACCGCGTTCGCAACCGCTTTGCGAACGCGGATCCGCTTTCTGTGTGAATGACCGGTAAGTGTACCTCAACTGGCGATTTCTCTCTCAGCTATTAGCGGCGAGATGCTTCGGTGGCGCCCTCGTTTGGTTACGTTTCGTGACGTCATTACCTTGTGAACAACAAGTTCGATGGTGTTTGCAATGGGCATGGTGGAAGCCTGAAATCATAGCGCTCTCAAAGCAACACTGCCAACGCCGTCAAAATTGAAGTTCTTACATTCCTCGTATTTCCGTCGAGGAGACATCTTTTTCTGACGTCATAGTCAGCATTCGGCCAATTGTGGTGGACCGACCACAGCGACGCTTTCGATCGCTCACGTCGCCAGTAGATGAGCAATTTAGCCAGTGCAGTAAAACCGCTAGCCGGGGATGTTTTACATGCACTACGTGGTAATGATACACGACCACACGCCGGTACGATGCTCATCCAGATCGAAACGGGCAAGTGTGGGGATTGAACCCAGGATCCCGAGGTTCTGCAGCACGCCATGAAACTTGTCATTCGGAAGTGATGATAAGTGCCGGCATGGCGCTCATTGGATACGAACGCGAATACCAGTGTTCGTCGACGGATTGATCGTTAATGAGCGCGTATGTCCGAGTGACGCAGTGCTCTTGTCCAATGCGTGAACGGGGGTCGGCTGACGCGCTATGACGTTCCGGCTTTTGACTTTCTACTATCTTTCTTTATGCTCACTAAGTGATATGCGATTAGCAAAATCCCCAACTAAAATAATTCGTCCCAGCCCAAAATTTATTTCATAGCCCTTTTAAAAGTGCCCGTCAATCGATTTTTCTGCAGTGGACACGTAGGCCAGTCACGGTGACCTAAAAAGTCAGCTCTGGGAGTGATGAAGCCGGAAAAAAGTTCAGTCCGGAAAATGAAGACCGCGATGTGACACCGAGCATGTCATAAGCAGCTAAACCGCCATGTTCGGTGTCACATCAGAGGCTTCATGCTTAGGCGTTAAGGTATTTTCGGGCTTGTCCGTCATCGAGCTCTCTTCGTAATTTGCTGAGCTTATCAACTGCACTGATCGCAAGTAGACGTAGAACCACTTCCTTTCCTGCGGTTCCTCCCCACAACGTGGTAGCCAACCGGAAGCCAAAAAAAGATCAAATAGAGCATTTATTAATTGAGTGCTTATGGCTGTTTTTAACAGCATTTCCCCCGCTTTCTTCACAGTGTCTCCGACGTGTCCCTACGAGAAGACAGCTGACGCCTACCCCGTCTACACCGACGTTGTCCAGATGACCGGCATCATATCGGAGCAGTCGTGCGAGTCTTTCTGCACCACGTATCCCAACTTCAACTGCCGCTCCTTCGCGTACTACCCGAGCAACGGCCAGTGCTTCATCAGCGGCGAAGATCGCGTCAGCGCCGGCCCCGCCAGTACCAACTCTCGTCCTGGTATCCTATTCTACGAGCGCTCTTGCAAGGATGGCGTCGGAGGCACCGGCACCACAGACGGCGGAGGCGGTACCACGTCGCCTGGAGGTGGTTCATCCACAGGCGGTGGTCACTCGCCGACCAACTCGCCCACATTTCCGACGGCGCAACCGCCGCAGACACCGACACTGTTCCCGCCTACAGGTAACCAGGAGAGCATTCCACGAACCTCCTTACACCGCCAAGGGAGCCAGTGTAAGATGTTTTTCCATGTAATGTATACGTGCATCCCATGGGGACTGGCTGCCTGGACGCTGGTGGATATCTCAGGGTTCGTCGAGGTTCCGCGTGGTTCGTTGATGATGCAGAATGAAGGCGTTTGTTTTGGGTCGTGACTGTGGTCAATGACAACGTATGAAACGCATGGCGTGGCGGGTACCGATCATCTCATTTTCGATTCGTAGCCAATCAGATTGCAGCATCAGTCAGCCGATAAAAAATCGAATAACAAATCACGAATATGTGATTTTTTCAAGCGTGAACAAATCACATATACAGGCGCGAACAAATCCCGCGTAAAGAAAATACGCATGAAGAAATTATGCGTAAAGAAATCACGCGTAAATATGATAAGCCACGCCGTGCGTTTCCTAATCTGTCACCCAATATAGAGGTTGTTTGCAAGCTTGAACTGCGGGTGCATGGAGGTCAGCATGTTTGCTCGATGTGCCATCGGCGAAGAGAGTTTTCCGGAGCATGTCTTTAAAAGGGTTGGTGGATTCTTCCTGTAAAAATGCATCAGTCCTTCAAAATCCTTGAATGAGGTCTACCGGATACTCGGCCCTGCACGCCTGTTTATATCCCATCCCTTTTTATGATTTTTGAGAGTGCTCAGGGAAGGAGCAGCTTTGAAACAAGCCCTATGAATATGAATAATTTTGTATCTCTGGGTTTTCTAATGGACACTTTTCAAAATTCAGCCTGGCAACTTTGATCTTTATTATCATCCCAGTGTATGGAATTTGTGCGAAGCTTTAATGATGTCTTTTTGAAGCTGATGAAGGAAGATTGAATGCAGGTTGAATACACTACCAACCGTAGGATATATGAGGCCTGTTAGTTCGAGACGTTAGCTCAGCATGACGCAAGAATTATTCACAACGTCTGCGTAAAAGCGTTTATTTCGGAATGTAGTCCAATCAATGTCTCGTCACAAGTTCGGCTCTAAAGCCTTTTGATGTCTGAATTATAATCAAGGGGCTTATCGGTCGCAGCTTTGTACTAGTCAGTTTTTATGTCCCCGCCATTTAAACTGAAACAAACCAAGTAATAATTGTGAGGAGATGGAAGAACCAATTCTTATCTCCCATCGAGGTGTGAAAGTGACGGTGCCCTATGAAATACAATTTCATGACCACCATTAGTTTGTCGAAAGTGAAAAGGCCCCTTGCCACCAGATGGCCCTGAATGTTCAAAAGGGTTTATCGCTTCTAAGATTGACATTTGTTTTCTCCGAAACTTGGGGAAGCGGTGAAGAACCGTGATATTTATTCTGCGTGTCGAACTTGGACCAACCGAGCCACGTGTGCACGCCGAATGTTTTAGAAGGGTGTCTACCTTTTGTAAGGGACTTAGAAAGTAGAAATTATTAATTTGCTGTATTTTGTTGTTAATTGTTTTTGTCGCCTGTGGCCATTTGGGAGGGCGAGGCGAATCATTTGGACTAAATTTTCCTCTCCAAGCAGCGCTAGTGTAAACAGGGGAATAAATGTAGCTTCTTTTATTCTGAGATACTCAAAGGCTTCGCAAAGAGCTTGTTGATATTATAGGACAAGGGTGGCCTGAGTGACATGAGGTTAGAGCCGCAGACAAAACTATAAATATTCAGAGATGCAAAAAAAAAAAAAAAGAAAGAGAGAGAAAAAAAGGGGGGGGGGGCTGGTTAGCAGGAAACGATATATGGAGGGAACAGTCCTTTGCAAAGGGGAGAAGTATAGTTGTCGACTAATAACACGAGGCAGCAGGACGTTTCTTCAACCGCTAAGCAAAAATGAATATATGGTTCGCCAGCTAGCCACTGCCCCTGATGCCCGTTATCGTTATACGGGTCGAAATTCATTCTTGGACAATAAAAAAAAAACAGGGTCACTGGACACATCTATGTGTCAAAAAGCAGTCCAGCAGTATATACGTAGAGTTGTACAAGGCTGGCCAAGGATGTGAGTTCTTCCTTAAATTCTAGAACTCTTTTCGTCTTGGGGACACAGGGGGGGGGGGGGGGGGGCACGCTTGCTAAGGATCCGTGAGCCGCAATTGGACTCGCGAAGAGCCGCATGCGGCTCGCGAGTCGCTGTTTGGCCACCCCTGTTATAAGATTTTGCAGATGATAACAAATATTATGACAGGTTAGGACACACCCTCATAGAAACATATTACCTAGAGAAAGAAGTTGATATAAAAGCCTCGAAACACGTAACGTTTTTTTAGTAAACTCGCTGCCTCAAATCTCAAAGCAAAAAAAAAAAAAAAAAAAAAAGCAACAACAACCAGAAATAGGCTCTTGTTTTGTTTTATATAGTAGGGTTGATAGTTTCGCATTCTGATTGCTTCCAAGATGACTATCATCTTCCATAAGATGATAGTCTTTTATAGTACGTGTTTTCGGCCAAATAAGTACTTTGATACCCGTTTGCTTGAAGTTAGTCTAATATTGACGAATCATTTTTCAGCACGCCACTGTAGTGCTGGAGACAAGCTGACATTCGCAAGGGTGTCTGGCTTCGAGTCGGCCGCCAGACCAGGACCCATTCTGCTCACGGCACCGGCAGACGGCATGACCAAGGAGTGCATCCTGCGCTGCGAACAGAGGGACGACTGCAGGTCATTCAGCATCGACTACCGCCGCCACGAGTGCTACATTGCGACGTACTTCTCGGGCACTTTGCCGGCGCATTTGAGACCCAGTCCAGGAAAGACGTACTTCGAGGGCATCTGTGTTCCTGGTAACGCCATTTGTTTTATTTTTTTTTGGCAATGAAGTAATTTGAAAAAAAAAAAAAACAGCATCTAAATGTTTTACTTATCGAAATGCATGTGGCAGCCTGCCATAAAATACTGAGCAAACGGCACCTCCCGAAGGAATGTCAACTTTATATTTTGAATTTTGTCTCTCCACCGTGGGTGGGCGATCATTCGGGATTTTAAGGCAGTAATGGTTAGGAATTTTTTTTTTTGGACGCCCTAGCTAGTTCTAGTCTAACGGCGCTGCCTTATGTGGTGCTTTCCCTTGAAAGAAGGTTTGACTAGCTCGCTATGTTTAATCGTCTCTTTGAACCTACAGAGCGCGAGAGCACCATTCAGTTCAGGACCATCCTCCATTCCCCCAACCTTGACTGTTTCAAAGAAGACCCACGACTGTTACAACGAAGATATAAGACCATGTCTTGTTCATAAATCGTTACCAGTATATATTCTCCCTTCATGTCAACTAGACGGTAATACGGAACACCGTCGCTAAAAACTTCCCTTATTCGAAATACTTTGGTTGTATAATACTGTTTGTACAACTTAAAAAAAAAAAACTTTGTATTTCCGTAATCTTGCAATACCAACAACTTTGAAATTCGGCATTTTATTACGTTTCGATGGAGGATACAATTTTTTTCGGAAAACCCCTTCATTCTTTTTAATGCGGCTTTGGTCGGAGTCATTGAAATAGATGGATGATAGGATTATCACAGTTTTCGAGCGCAGCTTTTCGGCGCCCGTTTCCGGCTTGAGCGGGGTCGCCTCGCCGTCGGCGTCAGCGTAACCGGGCGTTGCAATATGGGGCGTTCCCATAAGGATGTCACACGTGACGTCACGTGTGACGTCACGAGGGTCACTAGTGATTCCTGTGTGACGTCACCTTGGTGACGTCACACGGCGCCTAATTTAGGCGGGGAAATTTTCTCCGCTAAATGTGGCGGAGAAATTTTCCCGCTAACTAGCGGGGAAATTTCCCCGCTAAATTTAACGGAAAATTAGCGGGAAAATTTCCTCGCAAAATTTAGTGGAAAAAATTCTCCGCTAAAATTAGTGGTAAAATTTCCCGCTAAATTTAGCGAAAAAATGTCCCCGCTAAATTTAGCTCAAAAATTTCCCCGCTAAAATTAGCGGGAAATTAGCGAAAGTTTTCACTAAATAGGAGGAGAGCAGAAGAGGAGAAGGGGAGGGGGAGAAGGGGCATACCCTCCCCTACGTACCCTCCTTTCCTCCTCAAGAGCTGCGCTCTGATTCGGCATTACAGAGAATTGTAAACGTCTTCCATTTTTAACGACTTTATCTAAAGCCTGCGAATTCTGAACCTTTTCTAATTTTTTTAAATGTTCTGTTGAACCTTTCGACAACAGATGCCTTGAATTCTGAATGAGTACTAAAAAGTTTAATTTCTTTTTGCTTGAAACAATCTCAGTACTTTACTATTATAGAACTCTGGTCATTTATCTGTTTGTATCTTTTTGAGTATTCTCTTTGACTGGAATAGTTCAAGGAATACTTCAGTTATTTGTTCACCTGTTTTCTTCTTTAATGGTATTTCCCATGCATATTTAAAGAATGTATCTATACAAGTTACAAGATATTTATAACATTTGACTTCAACAAGATTAGCTTGCCATTGATCATCTATTCCTTGAACGATAACTCTAAGTCTTTCAGAGTTGTTTATAATTTGCTTGAATTTTGTATATACATATTTTTTCTCAGCTAACTCTTTAACCTCTTTAATTGATTTGTTTGGCTTTCTTTGAGGATCATTTAGTGCAAAATACTTTCTTGGATTATAATAAATGTTTTTGAAGTCCATTACATTTATACCCGTTCATTTTTTTAAATATATTTCTTCCTAGCAAGATATTTGGTTTACTTTATGAAATCATTTTCCCTGTTCTTATCCTCAACTTCAGAAAAAATTTCATTTTGTCTGTTTTAGAAGTTCATTATAAAAATTGTAAGAAATTAAATGATTTTTTTGATGTACATTGAAACTTTACTCAACTGCATGAACGGGTAAAATACTTGACATCAAACCAGCTAAGGGAAGGAAAACAAATGCAGTTAATCTACTTGCTGAACAGAAATCTTAGTGAAAGTTAGAACTCCAGATAAATTCTGGTAATAATGAAAGGACCTTCTGAATACGTATGCTTTCTTCTCAAGTTCTTCCATTTATTAATAAGGAAAAAAAGATCGAATCAATTGTTTATCATTATGTTTTGGATCTGATGAAATTTCTTGTATGATATATTGTGTCTTACCCCTAGACGATTTTAAGTACAGTGAATACAATAATGACCCAATAAAAATTACTTATTCCCAGATAATTTAATATTTCTTTAGCAACTGGTAGACCAAACTATGAAAGAATTCAGTATACTTGAGGCCATTAAGATAACAAACCCAATGAGTTCCAGAGAATGGAAAATTATTATTTATCACACCAAACTTGTTTATTTATTTAGGCAACATATCTTTTTGGGGGACATACACCATTAAATTCTGACTTCTGTTTTAATATCTTATTAATATCTGTAGAACTTAGTGGTGATCTTATTAGTTTTTCTTATCAATTATCCTAACAACCTGACCAGCAATTTTCTCAACAGCTTTCAGAGCTCCAGCCGTTGCGGCTCCTTTTAAGGTTCCTTTGACAACAAGTGGCAGGGCTCTGGGTGCTAATGGGGCTAAGGCCCCAAGGATTGGCAAAAAACCACCTTCTTGAGCCTTTTGATTTCTTAAATGTGTTTTACTGAATGTCCACAAGCTTACCCTTCTTTAGTTTTTTGAATTTATTGGAAGCAGGAAACTATCTAGAATTTGTGAAATTAGCACTCGGATCAATTCGTATTTTTTTATTCTTCTTTCTGAATTGGTCTTCAGTTTTTTTTCCGGATCTTCTGATTGGTTTACAGGGTTCAGGATATAGAATTGTGTAAGGAAAGAATATTATATTTCGGCAAACACCATCAGGTAAAGTTACATCTGTTTGATGGTTTTACCATAAGATAATTACATTACGTTTTCTATCAATCTTGTACATCAGGCACGTAGCCAGAATTTTTGGTTCGGGGGGGGGGGGGGGGGGCCCGCCTATGACAAAATGCTGTATGAGGGGGAGGGGGGAGAGGAGGTCCCAGCAAAATGGCAGATTTCGGGGGGGGCGGGTCCCGTGGCCCCCCTGGCTACGTACCTGTTGTACATCATATACATTCTGTGCCTTGTAGCCTGAGTACTTCGCAGTTTAGCATGTACATGACTGAGAAAGAGCATTTTCGAATGCATTCGTAGGTATATTTGTAACCTAGAAACAGAATATTACATAGAGACTTGCAAATGTTCATTTTGTCACAACTGTCCCGGTATATACGATCTTCGTCTACAGTAATAAATCCGGCTTCCAAGAATGCATTATAGGCATCATCAATAACAAAATAGGTTGCTGTGAAGTCACAATGAATTGGAAAGAATCTATGGTAGTCTACTTCTACATTTATACTTTATACTTACGGATCAAACATATACTGTCTCCAGTTGTAGAATTGATTCTAGAAATATTCTCAAAAACAATATTAATATATTTTGTTTTACATAATATTCCTGGAAAATCTATGCTGTGTTCTGCATTATAAAAGCCTATTGTTTAGTGGTTTTAAAACTTTCTCATTTATATTATGCAATCTCAGTACTCTTTAATTGTTCGGTTAAAAGAACCCCAGTTTTCAAGTTGAGTGTTATCTATTTAATCTTCAACAATAGCCTGCAAATAGAACTTTGTAATTTCCTCCAGTGTTTATTAACATGTCTGTGTAATTATTTTTAGCTAGAGTTAGCTAAAATGTCATTCCTTGAAATGCTTTATCAGTTCTGAAAAAAAAATTATTTGTTCTCTGACGTTTACAGATAATCCGACAATCTTTGAGTTTTTGGTGATTACATATTTCTTGGCGAATCCTTTGTTATATTTTGTATTTACTTGAACACCAGTAACAGTCTTCTGGGCATTTACAATGACTTTATATTTGCGTAGTTGATATGTTTTAGACATATCAGGATACGAAAACTCGGAGGTCGCTGTAGATCTTGAGAAATCAGGAGAAAGATTATGTTCGATTTCTTTATCATTAACAGTAAACCTAATTTCTGAAAATGCATTCGCACCAATATTAATAACAAATTTTGCAATATAAGCATCGCTGAGATTTGTATCATCACTTTTAACAATCTTTCGTCTGCATTGAAGTAGCATTATTGGAAAACCTAAAAGCTTTCCTGATGTTGGAACACGAGTTCTACTTCGTTTTCAGATTTTATTGTGTAATTTGAATTTCTAACGATTTCAAAATCATGACGTTCATCAGTTGTAATAGGCATTTCTGTCTCTCGTAAGTTCCAGTAGTTCGTTTATAAGATAAAACAAAATCATGCGAGAAGATGATTACGAAGAACTTTTGGTTGTTTACCCATTCTTTTATTTCTTAGTAATCCCCCTCCGTGTAAACTTTCATATTATGTTTTTTTGTACATTTTGTTTTACCATTGGACTAACGTGTTTCTTAAAGTCATTGTAAATGCCTTCAGCGTTGATTTGTTTTGGAATATTTAATTCATTTTCAACTCATTTGGAAGCCGCATTTTGTATTTTCAGTTTAAACTCTGCAAATGTATCTCTATCAGGAATCATATTATAGCATATGTAGGTAAATTTGAGCTAGCCTCTAGAAAAATACCATTTGAACTATTTTGGGGGAGATCTTGTTTACAAAGATATAAGATGTAAGCAACATGGTTTATCTCATTAAACAAACTTGCATTTCCAGGGGAAAAACAAATAAAACATATTCGTATGATAAGTTGGGGATTAGGTTGTAGGGGGCTACTGGAAGATATGTTAAGGCAATCCTGTAACTTTATTGAATTATCGTTTTATAACAATAACACTTTGGTCTAAGTGCCACAAAGTCCATTAGGACATTTCCATTCAACTCATCTTTAAACTTATCAATTGTGATTTTTATCCTCGGAAAATAGTTAATGATATCTTGGATAATCAGAGATATAAAAATACTCCTTCATTTGTTTCATATCTTTGTAGAAGTCTTCAGTCTGAATGTCGTATATGAACCTATCAATATCTTTATAGAGAATCTTTATCCTCTGTCTGTATCTCTTTTTCATAACATTGTAGTGAAAGTCGTACATTAAGGTCTTTTACAAATCTAGGACTTACATTCCAATATATATTGACTTATCATCAATTTTTGTTTTGTTTTGTGAAAATGAATAGAAACCACATTCTCACTATATATTTTTATAAATTGGAGGTATACTTTTTAACAAGTTTCTTTAATTTTTTTAGAATTGAATTTATGTCTAGAAGTTGTTTCTGACATTCTTCATCGTTTTTCCGTACACGGCATTGTTCATTAACCTAAACAATCTCTTTCAAAGACATTTTTACTTTTATTTTGTAGTTTTGTGTTTAGGCCTATGTAATCATTAATAAAAGGTTTCTCTTTGAATCTAAGTTTTCTGTGTATCTTCGTTACTTTTATTCAAAGTTTGATATATTTATTTAAGGCCACGTGATGAACAACATATTTCTTTTTATCTTCTAAGGTCAAGAAATTTTTTTTGTTGACTTAATTCGGGCCAATGGAAAATGATTGTTTATTGTGTAATTCTTCGGAATATTTAAGACCGACTTCGATGATGTAACCGTGTTCTTTTGATAAGTACTCATAATGATCTATGACCTCGAAGTTATCGTATAGTTACGGTTGGGATAAACCCCATCCATATAGGTGATTTGCATCTAAATACATTAGACAGTTTGATGGTTTGGTTGGATTGTAATCTGGTAGATATTTCTTATTTGCTTCCGCATATCTGTGTGTTACATCGGTCATTCCCTCTCTTGTTTCTTTTCTATCACAAGGAAATCCATATCTGTAATCTTTGAACTTTAATTTCAGTCAACTTTAACGTCGCGTCCCATGCTAAACTTGAGTTGTATAGTACCAACATGGGTCTAATTATTATGTTTCAAAACAAACATCTCAGAATTTTTAGAATACATTTGAAAGTAATAAAACATCCTGTTTGAGATTCAGGTAAAAGTACTCTCCTGGTGTTTTGCAATATTTTTTATAAAGTATTCTTTAGTATTCTTCGTCTTTCATTTCATATCCTGTCATCCTACTTGTAAATTTATCTTTTAAAGGAAATTTTATTTCATTATACCCTTAAAAATGCAATCGTATGGAAATTCATCCTTTTTGTAACAGGATGTCGTCTTAGAGATATTGGAGGCCTCTTAACTGTTTCTTACTTGAATTTGAAATTAGTTAATTCAAACTTTTATTTATAAATTTAAAACTATCAAAACTCTTAGTTCAGTTAGTTTTTTATAATTGATTTTTTACTATTTCTGAGAATATATTATTTTCTTCGTTGCTTGGAAGGAGCTTCCAATCTGGTTTGAAATATCCTAGGTTTTCTTTATAAATAGATGGCAGTAACGTCCAGATAAGTTATGAAAGTAAACTGGAATAAATTTTGAGGCATGATAATTTGCAGTAAAACTGTCACAGGCCGGGCCTCTATATTTTCCAGTCCAATGATAGTGATCGTATACATCGTTATCCTTGAATGGTTTTAGACATATGTAGCATTTAAGGGCATTATCGTGCATTTCTCGTTCATTTTTGTTTAAAGAAATCATTTCTTTGTTTACCACCAGTAATTAATTAATTTACTTAGCAATATTCGTAATACTTTCACACAAACAAGCTTTGTAACACTTTTTACCACAATAAACATACAGTGGAACCTTCATACTATTGTAAGCACTGACAAAATAAATTCCAAAACTGTGTCGTATGTGATCTTGGTTTTTTTTTCAATGTCGTTCATTGGCTAAGAGCGATTTAAATGAGCATTGATAGCATACGGGTCTGAGTTTTCAAGAATGGGTATTGAATTCGATATAACCAGGTTTTGGTAATACGCCTTTTCAAATTCCGTTATTTTTACCAATTTCTTTAGGTCATTCAAAATATCCCCTTCGTGGTTTGATAAATACTTCATTCGCATGTATATATCTTTCCGTTATGTTTTGAGTGGGAGACTAATCTGCTTAGATTTTTTATCCAACAATAATGTTCTTTACAGGATAGGAGGTTTACTATATTTTTATAATCAGTTATCTTCCCATTGTAGAGTGCACCTACGGTGCCATCGAGAACAAACATATGAATGTTTATTTTATTCTGTCTTTCAAACTTTGGACAATCTTTGGGTGAGACCGGACATTCAATGACGTCAAATTTTAATTCATTCTGATAATCCTCATATTTGGAAACCTTATGAATGTGATCATTTGCTGGGTATAATGCTAAGAACAGAGCCCACATGAAACATTGATTGTACTTATTTTGAACATTGATTACAGTCCTTTAGCCTTTATGTAATCTGGCAGGAAGATGTCTGCTGCCCCTTTCAATGGTTGACGTTTAGGACTGCCGTATTCATTCCAATTTATTTTCGAAAGTTCCATCCGGATCCTTTTAATTCACGTTCTTGAAATTTGATCATAAACTCTAGGAATTTCTTTTTACCAGTCCATGATATCGATCTTCGGAAAGATGATACCATACCGAATTTTCTGGACTTTTCACTTTATTTCAACATCAAGACGAATGTTTACACGAGTTTTCGTCTTTAATGTTATACTTTCGAGTACCTTTCACATGACCTTTTTTCTGATGAACCCGAGGAATTCATTAATGGTTGAGGATTAATCAAAGTTCTCATAGTGTAAGTCATACACATTGTTTTTAAGGGCCTCTGCTGTCACTTTAAAATGTTGATATCATTTTGAATTTCGTTTATGTAGGTCTTTGTAGGATGGATTAATCTAGTAACAGGAGGTACACACTGTATATCTTCTTTTGTATTTTTTTTCGATTTGGTTTATCGAATAAACCTCGCTAAATACGAAATAAGAGGGCGAAATATTTCGTAGTCATCGTTTCTAATGATTTCATTGATTATTTGCTCATTTTATTTCTTCTTTGCGTTTGTTATCTTCAAATCCTTAGCCAAAGTATTCAGGTCCTTGAGCGGGAGGTCTTGTATGACGGATTCCTTTTATGAAATAAAATTTTTCGGCTTTTTAAATGGTTTTATTTAAATCAAAAACGTTTTACTTAATACAGTTAGTTTTTAATATGGACTTATCGTGTTCGTTTCTCAGCAGAGAGCAGGAACAACTAAATCAACTAAAAGAACTGAGTCCAGAGGAAACCGGATACGGCGAAACAGGATATGAATAAAGGAAGTTTTAAGCGGCGGTGTTCTGTAGTACCGTCTAGTTGACTTGAAGGGAGAAGATATGATGGGAACGATTTATGAACAAGGCATAGTCTTATATCTTTATGGGGGATGGTCCAGAATTCTCATTTTCTATACTACTAATAATGGGTCTGAAAATGTTATTTTCACAAGGCAAGTATTCCGATGGTACACCTCACATAAATATGAAACGCCGAAGGAGCACCAACGTATCTATCCTCAGTCGAAGCAGCAAATATCTGACATAATGTTTAGATTTTGATGTCTAAAGTATACCAATATTGCTTCGCTGAGATTATCAGTATTTGATAGTTGATAACATGAAGTGTACGCAGCAGATTTATACTTGGGAGATGGATCCATGTGTTACTTCCATCCAAAATTTGGTGAAGAAGCAGACGTCCTTCCACTTAAAAAGGCACTGGCAGGGTATTTATGCTCGCCAAGACCTTTATCTGTAAATGACATATGGAAGCCCTTTTCCCAAAACAGAATTTGCGACTCGAAATTCGTTTTCCTTCCGCCCGAAAACCGCCAATCGAAAACAGGCCGGTTTGAGTCGGGCTCACTCTCTTCTCTGTGGTCACGTACCGCTTTTCTATGGTTTAGACACAGTCAACAAGGACAATCAAAGTTCTGGATCATCGAAGGCACACACTTAATATCAAAAATAGAAAAAAACAATATGACACCCATTTCTTGTGGCTTCTAAAAAAGCCGCAAATATGTTGATTGAAAAAAAGTTGCACAGCCACGTGGCTTCCGCCAACTCTCTCCTTCTTTTTATCTCTTCTTCTTCCCCAGTCCGGTTTCGGTTTATGCTTCGAGCAGCTTCGTTTTTCTACTTAATTAAAAAAAAAATATATGCGACGCTGTAGCAAAAGATTGATTGGGTAGTCTTCTGACACCATAATGAATAACATCATGAGAAGACCCTTGTCATTCTGCTTTTCGCGTCCCCGTACGACTACGGTGACGCCCGTCCTAAAAAAGAAGAGTTAAACGCGTGCTGCTGGTCTATCTTTAATTTAAGCGTTCTTTTTAAGAACATTAGAAACTAGGACTATTAACGGAGGCTTTGCTTTACAGATAAGGGCGAAAATACCGAACTAATCAAATCCGGGTACTGATAGGGAAGTTGCCCGCAGCTTGTTTTTCTACCGGACAGAAACGATTAGATCAAGCCTGTATTTCCACTTCATGTAAGCGCCAGCTAGAAACGATTTAAGTTACATTGTATCTGAAGTGAGTTAGAAAAGGAAACCCCCTTTTCGTCGCTAGCGAGGCAAAGGAACAGACAGTGCTGCAATAAAATGAGGGAGTAATTGTCGCAGCAGTAAAATCAAAGTAAGCAGTATTCAGCATTGCGAATACCTTTTCTGTAAGTATAACTGAACGAGAATCAGAGCTAGTTTGATATGTTTATGCTAGCCAATCTGTGACATTAAAAAATTATGCGTAATGTGTATAGTCACGGACTGATAAGAAACGCGGGGAGTGGCCTATGCGGAGAGCAAGTCGTCTGCTTCTTGCGCAGGGATTAGGGTGACGTCAGGAGGACGCCGATTTCTGATTGGCTTTTACTGAAAGTATAGTGGGTAGACCTCAATGCTAGATGCCTTGAGGTCCACCCACTATTTCTTTCAATCAGCCAATAAGAGCTTGGCGTTCTGATATCATTGCAAGGAGCAGACGAACTTTCGCTCCGCATTATCCCCTGCGTTCCTTTGATCGTCGGTGTACGTACCATATCGGTATACATATAACTATATTTATTTTATGGTGGCCTTCTTTCTGAAAGATGGACAGTCAGGCCCTGATTTGTTTTGAGTTAGACCTTAGTCATGTGTCCACTTCCTCCTGTCGTCTTGCAGCCGCCGTTTCCTGCCACAAGCTCTGGTCCTTCGAGAGGATGGTGGACCAGGAGCTGCGCGGGGTGAGTCCCAAGGAAGTGACGCGGTTCATCAGCCTCCACGACTGCGAGCGGCGGTGCTTCGAAGAGCGGCGCTTCCAGTGCAAGGCGGCCAGTTTTGACGTAAACCTCCAGGAGTGTCGCCTCTATTCGGACGACAGAAACTCTCGCTTCGCCCGTCTCATCTACGGCAGGGGTGTCTACTACTTGGAGAACCAATGTGTAGTCAGTGAGTATCGAAAACCACTTAGTAGAGGTTTTGTACTTTTTCTCGAAATGCAGGATGATATTTTTCTGGTTCAACATGGACCTGGCCGTTTGAAGGAACGTTTGTTAATGCCATTACTTATTATGTCATGGTATATTACGTTCGTACTCAGACATAGTAGTAAAGTGATCTGAAGAAAATTGTTTTCTTCGTTCCTTTTTGAATTGTACAGCTAATGCTGCCGGGTAAGTTCAAATGTTTGTTAATAGGTTATATGAAAGTCGTTTCACCATTTCACACACACACCCTACGCAAAAATATAATAGAAAAATAGGCGAACTCTTCAGGAGACAGATAAAAAAAAAGATTGTTTTGAAGTTTGAAATACGTTTAAAGTTTCTAACTACCAATATGAAACATGAGAGTTATACTGTCCGTAATCCAACAGCCAAATGATCCTCAATTTGTTAATTTGTTTGACCTGTGTTTTAGGACTGATGTTAGTGTGAACAGCGCAATTCCTACTGGGTGATTTCAGATAAGATCGACCAAAGGGTGGCTGGTCGACATTTTTAAATCAACTGATGTTTTTATATGACATTGTCTAGTGTCTGGTATAAACGAATTCACACTTAGTTTTGACCAGAAAAAAAATTTGGAGACAAGAAAAATCGTAAGGCAGGGAGAGGTGGACAGTTGCAATAACGCGCACTGATGGAGGGGGCAAGTTTGAAAGTGAATAATTAAAACAATAAAATTAGGAGAATTTTAAAACTTTTTACAAACAAACTATGGGTACAACGTGCTTGTAATATAAAGTAATAATATTTATTAAAAATTTATTTAGTTTTCTAAAAATTGCCAAACATGCATGCTCGAACGACAAATGGCAAAATTTGGAAATCTGTATCTCATGAAATAATTTAATCATTATTACATAACTTGCAGACATTATTTTACTAATATATGGCTATTATTGAAAAAATAAATAAGGTATCTGAGTGACACAATAGTTACAATATATTTAGGCAAACATGGGAAAAAATCAAAGAAAAATTCCAATGCGAATAAAAAAAAACACCACCCTCGATTTTTTTAAAGTTTAGGTAACCTGTTATACTCTATTTCGGCATTCATTTCCATTAAAAACATGTTGCATCATTTTATTGAGAAAGAAGATACAACTCCCCAAAGTAGGGTCCTTTTTAAAAGCCTACACTTAGCAGTGTCCTATACAAGAAGTGACTCTGAGTTCCAGTTTCATGAAACTTGCACAAATCTTTTATATACATTTATTCAGATGAGGTCATTGATAAAAAGAGTGATCGGTCACACAGTAAAAGGGAGGAGAAACTATATACAGCATTTTACATAAGCGTACAAAGTGGTATCATATTAGAGACTAATGATTTGAGAAAAGATGATGCAGTGTGAAGTTGTACCTTCCGGTATATTTTACATCTAGAGTAAAATAAATAACTTTACTTCCACACACAAAAACAAAGATATAATAGTAAGATATTTAGGTTGGCTGTGTATTTACGATTACAAACAATTTCAGGTGACGGATGCCATAGTGCCTAACTGGAGCAGCTTCGATGCTCTCGGTGTATGAATGAATCGTGGCAAGCCGATATATTTTATCCTGCTCGAGGATAACATTTTGGGATTTTTTTTATAGTGATCAGATAAAAATTATTAGTAACCACCAACAAAAACAGTAGGTTAAATACCCCGTGAAGAAAAATGTGATAAATAAGATGTCCCTGTATTCAAAATGAGCAGTCCTTGGGAAATCAAATTTGGCACTTTACGCTAAGGTTTTCCTCACTGTGCCCATTTAATAAAGTTGCTTCCAAGCAGATCCGACTGTCCGTGCTACATATACGTCACAGGTCCCTTCTGTTGATGACTTGCTGAGCCGCCACGCGTGCGAAGACTGAATGCCAGGGAAGGCGCGCACCGTCAGCCACTCTTCTTTTTTTTGTTCACGATACCGAACAGCCTCATTTTCGTCCGGATATACAAGATGCACGCCTTTCAGTTTCTTTGATAGAACGCTCACCATTGTCCTGGCCGTCTGAATTGCGCTTACTGAACGTTCTCTCAGGTTGTTCAGCGTGGCCTGGTGCTTCACGAGTCCGCCAACTCCGTCACATGCATTTTCCCCATGTCCAGATGCAGAAAATAACCACTGGGCTTGTGGGCAATCGTCCCTTGCAAATTGGTGAAGCTGGTAGCGATTCTTGAAATGACTGGCGGCGCCGTCACTTACGTACGTCACGTACGAGTATACCGCAACGTTGTCTTCAACCCACTCCTTCACTTTTTCTAGAGCCAAGCAAGCGTGAGCGGCGTCGTGATACAGGTCCTCACCGATGATGGCAAAGCTGTTTGTAGATTTTCTTGTCGTCACTACACATGTAAATATCGAAACTTGTTTTTTTTTCCAGTGATATGCTTGCACTTCGTCAGGAAGCACGATGGTCCAGTTTTCAGCAAAGTCAAAATGAAAGACAATGCTCCCGCGTTGCATGCACTGTTTTTCATCGTAGATCGCTTTACCTTGCGTTTGCCGGATATGGTTGTGAAGTACCCAACTTCCAACCGTCACTTGGATGACTTTTAGGAAAGTCTCAGGTTCCAAAGTTTTTTTCACAAGGTCGCCGGACTCCCATGTTGCAAGCACAATCTCTTCATCCTCCGGGATATCAAGTTCCTGGAGTGTAAGAAACTGGCCTTTTGGGCAGTGATCACAGTCTCCTTGAAGGCACAGTTCTGTTGCTGGGTCGCACAGAAATGCCGAGTTCATTTCACCAGTGTTGAATGTTGAGCCTGTAACGTTCTCTAGAGCGGCAATACAAAGATAATAATTGGCGCAGCGCACACAAACGCACACTTCCTGGTGTGGAATACATTGGACCCATCTAGGGCGCAACGAACAAAATTTCGTTAGCCCAACGCCGGAATCGGGATGCTTGGCTTTGTATATACGGAAGGCCTCTCGTATTGAGCGTGTCATGAAGCGCTTTGGCACGAACGTTTTCTCTCCGTTGAGCATGACAGAGATGACGTCCTTCTGGTTGGGACTTTGGCGCGAACATTGTAGCTCGTCTTTCGTGAAGTACTCTAGGGCAGCAGACAGGTTCTCAGGGCTCACCTTGCACCTCGTGTAAGGATCCGGCTCATACCACACGCCATGCTTTTCCTTGAGTTTTCGGGATTTACTGATGAGGTACATTGAGGCCTGTGGAATCATCTTTTGAACCTCATTCTTCGTCAGTGTTGACGGCAGGAGTGTAAGCAGTTGACAACGTTCCCGGAGAGAGGTGGCGGTTTCAAAGGCCTGCCGAAAGTTGTCCACCCACTCAGTGCATGTGGAGCATGTTGGTTCGGACGACCCCGATGGTGCGTCCCTGTCGTACGCAATACGTAGCCTTGAGCGTATATTCTTGACAGCAACCTGCTCCAGTTCTGTCTGCTTTCTCTTGACATAGGCAGGCCTGTCCCGACTTCTTACGACGCTTGGTTGTCTCAGCGGCGACACATCTGTAGGTAGTATGCTGCGATTTAGATCTTCAATTGCTTCTTCAGCTGGCACAAATATGTCAGGGCACTGCTCTGAGCTTCGCATCGAGATCTCCTTAGTGATGCGCATGAAGCAATGGTAGCACAGGTAGTGCGTCGCACTCACTTTGGTGGAACAGTCAGGCGGAAGAATTTGCTTCAACGAGTTTAGGTCCAACTCGCCAACACTTCGAAAATTCCGCTGCTTTGGTATAGTCTTTTTGTGTTTGCAAAAGTAATCTGCACAAAACACTCGTTCGGAGCTCCAGGACGTCTTCATAATGTATACATAAATAATAGAAATTAAACCCCAACTGATGGCATATAATTGCCAAGTGAAAGAACTACTGGGTGCACAAGTGACAAGTCCGAGGCTGAGGAGCTCACTCACTGCAAACGTACATTTGAAAAGAGAGGTCACAACTGAGGCTGTCGGCAAAGCTTGATCCACGTCAAAGGAAGAAAGAGGGAAAGTCTCCAGACAAAAAATTGTGGTCAGCGGCCTTCGAAAAAGACTTTACGGAATCGCACTGTCGTCCCTCCACGCGCTGATATGAAAGCACCCGAGCTTCTACCACGTGGTTCATGACACAGCCTGAGCCATGTCGGCGACCATTTCGCGAGGGGTTGGCGGTGGGGTTACGTTGATGGTCACTCGGATTAGCCCTTGCTGTACTGAGCTACCGCCTGCAGTGCCTTATCGCCGGCTGGTGTCAACAACGAGAACACACACACCCTGTCTACACCAAAACTACAAGCGTTCACCGCACACGCGTCGCCGCCGCTTTTAAGCTTTTGTGAAATTGCTTTCTTTTGTCGCGGAGAACCGCCTTATCTTAACTACGCGCCTGAAATCCTTCCAGGCGGGCGTACACAATATCAAGCGTTTCGAGAAATGCCCGTGGAGTAGAGCTATGGGGAAATTCGGAGCCCGCGATGTCGATATCGTCGCCGTTGTGTTAGTACGCCGTCGCGTACTGCAGTCCCCCGTTGGGGGAGGGGGGGGGGGGGCGGTCTTACTACGATAACATGGCGACAGCGTTTACACTCTATGTATTTACGCGAGGCTCGAGTATTTGGGAATAATGCTGCCGGTTGGTGTGACCCTTTGTGCCTGATATTTTCGCCCGTGACGCCAGCGAGTGAGATGGCGACAGGCATGACTGCTCAGTAAACAGGCGTCGGCGGCCATGCTTTGCTGGTTGAAGCGAACCCCCTTGTCCTTAACAGCGAGCGGGGAAATGCGAAAAAAAGATTGTATCGGCCGTTTTGTCAGAACTAGCGACGAGTGTCGTCTGCGGTTTCCGGCAACTATTTTGCCATAATCGTGAGCTTAGCGAGGAAATGATTTTTGCTAGCCACAGAACACTACCACGCAGAAAGGGAATGCTTGAACATGTTTTTGTTCTGGATATATATCAGGGATATATATGAGAGAGAGAGAGAGATGAAGGTAGAGCGGAAGAGGGAATAGCATACAGTGTCGCAGGAGAATAAAGTAAACAAAGTTCCTAGTGGCCGATGGCTGCATGATCTTTTCTCGGATCACTAGTCCGTAATATGATACCTCTTTGTACACAGTAGTTTCTCCTTAATTTAAGTGTGTGAACGATTTCTTTAGTTATCATTGGCCTCATCTGAATAAAAATATATAAAAGATGTGTGTTGGTTTCATGAAACTGGAACTCAGAGTCAGTTCTTGTATAAAACACTGCTAAGTGTAGGCTTTGAAAAAGGGCCCTACTTTGGGGAGTTGTATCTTCTTTCTCAATAAAATGATGCAACATGTTTTTAATGGAAATGAATGCCGAAATAGAGTATAACAGGTTACCTAAATTAAAAAAAAATCGAGGGTGGTGTTTTTTTTTTTATTTGCATCGGAATATTTCTTTGTTTGATTTTTTTCCATGTTTGACTAAATATATCCTAACTATTGTATCACACAGATACCTTAGTTATTTTTTAAGTATTAGCTATATATTAGTAGAATAATATCTGCAAATTATATCATAATTATTAAATTATTTCAGGAGATACAGACCTCCAAAGTTTGCCATTTGTCGTTCGAGCAGGCATGTTTGTCAATTTTTAGAAAAATAAATAAATTTTAAATAAATATGATTACTTTACATTACAAGCAAGCTATACCCATAGTTTGCGCCTAAAACGTATTAGAGTTCTCCTAATGTTATCGCTTTAGTTATTCACTCTCAAACGGGCCCCCTCCATCAGTGCGCGTTAATGCAACTGTCCACCACCTCATGCCTTACGATTTTTCCTGTCCCCAAGTATTTTTTCTAGTCAAAACTAAGTTTGGATTCGTTCATACCAGACACTAGACAATAACATATAAAAACATCACTTGATTTGAAAATGTCGACTAGCCATCCTTTGGTCGATCTTATCTGAAATCACCCTACTAAACGTTACACCTCTTAATAAACATAAAGCAGTGTCAACTAATCCAGAGTGTGACTTGTATATGCATCTCACTGAGCCTCGATATTTTGTTTTGTTTTGTGGCCATGAGCCTATATGGAATGGTAACAGACTTCCCTTCCTTCAACGTTACAGACACAGCTTCATGCCCGTATGCCCCCATCCAGCGAGACGTCTACATGACCCACATCACTCGCGTGGTCCACGGCGTCAGCTCCACCTTTCAATGCGAGATGGAATGCAACCGCGAGCCAGACTTCAACTGCCGCTCCTACACTTACGTGGAACATGGCACCCTAGGTCCTCCGCAGTGCCTACTGTCCGCCGACAGCCGCCAGAGCGTCTCGCCTATCGTTCTGGAGTACCGGAGTCGCGCCCTCTACGCAGAGAAGGACTGTCACCTGGATGACGACGGCAGGAATAACAACAATGGTGTCGTGGTGGGAACCTCACATCCACCCGCGTATCCACAGCCGTATCCACCGACGCATCAACAGCCACAGCCACACCCACCGCCGCCACCGCCGCCGCCAGGAACCACGTCATATCCGTCGCAGAAACCTGCCCCTTATCCGGGTCACAGCCCCTATCCGCCGCCGAGGTACTGTTCGTATGACCAGTACACTTATGAGAAGACCATCGGCCATGACATGAGGTAAGGTCATTCTTCAGAAAGTGTTTTGGAAATTAGAAGTGTAAAGGGGCCGTTACGCTGGGAACCACTTTGTCGCCTAAAATCTCTGGGGCCAGGGTGACCAAGGGTTAATTAGGATGGCTGGTTTATAGTTTAAGAATCATAAAGCGCCAAAAACTGCAAGAACCAATTCAAAGTAAGAAAACAAAAGGCACCTCGTGTCGTCTTACTTTGTCGTTGTCCTTGCTGCTTTTTGCGCTTTATACTTTTTAAGCCTAAGGGGACATTTTATTTTTTATTTATGTGGCGGTTACTACCGGGTATGCATCACATGGATTTGCATGACCTTAGGTATGAATTACCTCTACTGAGATGCGAGGGTTTGAAGACTACTGGGCCACTTAAGATCGCTAAAGCCTAGGACACAAGTCATGTTCTGTCATGTCGCGGTCGCTATCAAGTATGCGTGGCCTTGGCTCAGCTCAGAGTTGCGTAAATTCCTCGCATGAGTGGAGCTAACTTTCATATTTACCCTCTATGAAAAGGGGAACACATCGGATTTTGTCATCCAAATTATACTTCAATTTGAGTGAGACAGTCTAGGAGAAAGAAGATGCGAGAAGGAAAGGGGAGGAGGCCTGCGATCTACATGGAGCTTATGGACGCGCCAAAGTTATTCTTTTCCTTTCGAATCGTGCTCGACGTTGACGTGTTACATGCAGGTATGCTCCGAGAGAGCGCATTCCAACGCGCTCCGCCGTCGGCGTCGTCAGGGACGCTTACGGAGACTGCCAGCGGCTAGGGGACCGGTGCCGTGCCTTCACCATCGAGTACGGCAACTTCCAGACTGCCTTTTGGCTCTCCGCGGCGGCCGAAGACAACCGGCAAGCCTTGACGGCCAACCCGGTCGTGGCTTACTTTGAGAAGATCTGCCTGCAAGGTAACGCGCCTCGGGTTGTTTGAAGAGTGACAAGGAAATTACTATTGCTAGGTTGCCTGGAACAGGTCTTGGGCTTTGCAGCAACTGTGCATGGGTGCCGCCATGACCACCTTCAGTATTTGTTTCCTCTTAATCGCTTCGCTCTGTCATTACCATAGCCGGACACGTTATTGCCATTTTAGTTCCGACTGTGTCCTTCTCCCCAGCATTGGCCTTTGTGGAGTCTCGTCAAAGCCCGCTTCGGTGGCTTGGTATCTCGGTAAGATAAGATAATGGTCAGCAATGGCGGCTGAAATCTGGCGCGTTTGCAAAGCGTCTCTGCATTGCTTGCACGCGATGGCGACGAGCTATGCTGGTGGTCATTTATACTTGTTCCTGCTGAGCGAAAACAAATTTGGTGATACGAATGGTACGCTCCGGAATATATGCCCTCAGCATGAAGGCCTTCCCAATGTCAGCTGGTGCGATATCAACGGAGGCCATCTATAGTTGCTTCAATTTTGCTAGGAAGATAATTATAAGAGCGAACATGTTTTGAAGCCGGAAGAACACAAAGTGGTGCTCTGAAATATTGGGATGCACTGAAAGAGTGCACTAATCATGGACTTTTTGCTATGTCCCGTCTGTCTTGCTCAAGGCCCCATGCGGTTAACTAGGGATGTCAGTGTGAAATTTTAAAATCACTCCTACTTTTTTGGAAAGAGAATTAGAAACGGGTATGGGTTTGAAGCCGTCTGTTTTATGCAAAACCTTATGTGCGTCTAATGTTTAATTAGAGCAGCATACCAAACTAAAAGCTACAGTTTCTAGCTCAACATATGCTGTCCGCATTACACACTAATCGGCCTCATAGGATGAGGCTGTCTCAGTGAGATACAATGGAATTATTGGCAAGTGTATTCAAATTATAATCTTCCACATTGCCTTTGCCATCGCGTGCTCACAGTTGGGATCAATTATCAACACAGAACGCGGAACTATATGACGACCTTTCCAAACTAGGTTGCCTCAATGAGCACATATCGAGTTAAAAGACGGTAATTGCAAGCGCTGTAACAAAGTACTATGCTCGAGCTTCATTATGAATCTACCATAAATTGAACTGCAGCGATATCAAAAGTTGATATCAGTTTCCATCACTCAAAAGAACGTCTGCAACTACACGGGCCCGTACCAATTACGGTGCCTTAAAACTTAGTTTCCTAGCAACAAAAATCAATTTGTCAGACACTGGTTATGCCGACGTCGGTTCGGGCTTGTGCGGTATTTCCGTAGCGAATCTTCAACAACACCACCTGAAGCGCCAGAGTCTTCTAAACCCAGACCCGCGGCGTGACTGCAAGAACTCGAACCAATACGGCGGAAGTAAATGGGCACTAAACCACTTGATGCGATAGTCTAGTTATTGTCCTAACTCAACCCGAACATTACATTATTGCGTGGACGATCTTTCTGTTATAATCGGTATCAAAATATCGATTACCTCGGAACGATCGCAGAAAACAGAGGACGCCGTTGCATGAGGAAGGGCAGGGCTTTGCCCTTCCTCGTGCGATGGCGCCATCTGGTGTAAAGTTGTTTAAACATCGCATAAATGTAATGTTTGGTTTTAACAATGCTGAGAATTTATAGACAGAGTTATGATCATAAATAGACTATCGCAGGAAGTGGTTTAGTGCCCCCTTAAGTATTTGCTTATTCAATCCGTATTCCAGAATGCTCAAAAAGTGTGTCCAAATTCCTAATTGGGCAACTGCGTTCGCCGTGGCCAATTTTTTAATTTATGAGCTTCTATGCAGACCTCACCTCCTTTTAAGAAAAAAAAATTAAGAAAATGAACGTTTAAAAAATAAATATTTAATTTAAATATAGCGACAAAATCTGGGGAGATAAAGGCATCGATCGTGAGTAGCTCGTTAGAAAATTGCTCTCGTGTTGCATCACTGATTTTGTCTCAATACTGCCCCCCTTTTAAAAAAAAAAAAAAAAAGCTTCCTTTTGTTAAAAAAATGTATGTTTTGAACATGTTACTTTTCTATTCATTGGCTCGTCAAGTAATCCGATTGTTATCAGCGTGGTCTTTATGGATTCCAGTAACAAAGGATAGAAAACGGTCGATCATAGTCTAATACAGTACCGATAAAATAAACGAAACACTTCGTTAAAAAAAAAAAAAAAACATATATTTTTTTCCAAAATAAGCTTTCAGAAGTTTTTTTTTTTTTCTTTCTCTTTCTCTCGTCCCTATGAATGCTCTTGTTAGACTCCACTAATTAGGAAGAGGCACAAATAAACAAAATACAATGAAAAAAACAACACAAGAACCGCCAACTTGTACAAACGAACGTGGAACAGAACAATTGCAGGGTTGAGGAAACGACAGAATAATAATAAAAAAAATAGAATAAATAAACCCCGAAACACGGACACGAATGCGCAATTCTGTTTTGTGTTCCTAAGATAACAAAAACTGCAATTTCGAGAAAAAAAAAACACACACCGATTTAAAAGCCGGCCACACGCATCTAAATTGAAGAAGAGGAAGCGAAAGGAGCTCATCAACCGCCGTATAAAAAGACGCGTAACGAATCTGTATGTATATCTCTCTAGTTTTGTTCTTCGGATTTGTTCTTCGGAATTGCAAATACGGGCAGCCGAAACGGAGTTGCCGGCCAGCGGCTGCTTTAAGACGAACCGAGATCACGAAGTCGGAGCGGCGGAGTAGTTGCGGAATTAAATTGCCTTCGTGCGTGCTCCGCGCACGGTTGAGTTCCTCTACGTCCCAACAAACTTGCGCTACCATCGTTCAACGCCAGAAAAAAGCGAGGGAAAAAAAAACGAATACGTGTTTACTTATATATGTATTTTATTAAATATTGTGACTAAAATAAAAGTCTGTAAAGCGGGCTATACAGTACTCCGTCGTATATTGCGATGTAAAGTGGATGACGGTATGAGCCGTGGAAGCCAATCTAGTGCTGCATGAACGTCACGTGATCTGGCGTCCTGCGCGTCAATGTGCTCCTGCCGAAGGTCACGTGATACTGAAATGGCACTGGATTGGCTTGGATTGCTTGTCCCTCGTGTGGTCCATCGTAAGGTGAAAGAGAAATGTAGTTCAGCCTCCCCCCAGACAAACACACACACAGACACACACGCACAGGCACACAGGCACACGAAGACACAGAAGACACACTCGCACACGAATGCACAAACAGACTCTACCTCACACACACATGCAAAACACACACATACAAACGCACAAACCCACCGGTACACGCGCGCACACACAAACAAACACACGCACACACGCACACGCACACACACACACACACACACACGCACGCACGCACGCACGCACGCACGCACGCACGCACGCACGCGCGCACACACACACACACGCGCACACACACACACACACAGGGTCCGTTGTTTAATGGCTGCGACGGACGGAGAGGTGTTGATGAAAAAATTAAAAAAAGTCCTAAAGAAAGGGTTATACTCTAAAAGAAGGGTAGTTAGAAACAACGAAACAGAGTAAATACTTCGAGTTTGTTCTGGACGGACGAGCAACTGTTAGGAACGATCATTTCCGGTGCGACGGGATAACGGAGAGCTTAGCAGAGATAATTGCTAATATTTTTATATTTTCAAGTTGTGGTTTCGACAAAAAGAGGCGAAGTACACCGAGAAAAGGATTATGCTGAGGTTGCTGGCTTCTCAGATGCAACGCGAGAGAATAACCTGTTTCTTTTTTTCTACACGCGTGGGTCAACGCAATCAATTTTAAAATATGTTCGTACCATTATTTAAACGGCCTTACCTAATGGATGAGGCTTAGTTCTCGCCTCGTATTCAGACTGTTCGTCAGAGCACGAATACGTCGTTAGTTGGGAGAGTTCAATTTTATCTTTCTGCTGACCAAGGATTTGTTACTCTGGCAGCACTGCCTACCTACCTGCATTCGGGGTCCTCTCGCAGGGGCACGTGGCATGGTTAGCAGCAAAAGACGAATAGCGTGCTCGTTAAAATGCAGAATAAATAAAAAGCGATGACGGTTATTTATGTCATTCGTTTATGATTTTGTTGGTTCTTGTGTCTTAGCATTGCTTCCTCGACACGCTCATGTAACAGGCTGGTTACCTTACGTTTAACTTGAATTCGAAGCTCAATAAATATCGGTGATGAAGTGAACGTCGTCTTTGACTGCGGGTTACTCTGTATCACAGTGTCAAACGACGGCAACCGATCGCGAAACCAGGGCGAAGCAAATAGTCAAATGAATCACGATCTTCTATTTTTCCAAGTGCCTGTCAATAAACCAGGACCGGCTTGCTATACTTCGTTTCAGCTTCGGTCCAGACGCTACAGATGCTACAAGCGTGAGATTGTGGCCCTGAACAGTGCTTGCACTGTACGAGCGCGCGTGCTTGGCAGGGACGCTGAAAGCCCGGAGCTCGCGCTTCTAGCAGCGGCTAGTATAGAACAGCGTCTCGAGACTGGGTGAAAGAAAACACTGCAAAAGGCTTAGGCACGCGAGCGTCTTGAGACGTGGTTTGAGTCCCGCTCAGCTCGTGCGTTGGCATTTGCATTTGTTTTCTTTCACCCAGTCTCTGCTGAGACGCTGTTTCTATAGCAAGCCGGCCCAGAGAGATAAGTCCGGATGTATTTGGTTGCTACTGATTATCAGGTGAGTGTATTATATAATAATAAAACGAAAACGGACCTGTGTTTTTTCAGGTGTTTTTGCTGCAGGCTACCCCGAGATGCGATATCGTTGCTTGCCTTCTATGAAGGTTACACTTTCCCGCTTAAATTACGAAGCAACTTAAGCGCCAAATGTTCATTGCTTCTCTGTCCCTCTCTAAAAGTTTTCTCCCTCTCTCTGTTTCGGCGTCCCTTTGGCACGTCAACCGTGGTCAGACTCAGCACGTCGCCCTGCGGTTTAGACATCTATACCTCTACGAGGCATTGCGAAGACTGCGGCCCACTCAGTGAGCCACTGATCCCACGACCCGTGCATGCACACAATAAGGAGAGGAGAACGACACATGTACCGCTTTCGCGCATGTGTTTCAATGAGACGACCGAAGTGTGTAAAGGCCTAAGAAAACAGTTTTCAATGTGAAACCGTTGATCATTCAACGCCTTGCTCAGTGTCACATCGAAGACAATGTCTAGGTCAAAAGTTGCAAACAAATTTTCAGCCTCGCCATATTCCGAGCTCCCTCCTTATAGACCAACTCAAACATCCGACGTCACGCCACTGAGGTGGCGCTGCTGTCGCTACTGCGTACTCGAAATGCCCACACCGGGTTTGGGGAAACGCGGACTTGTTGATAAATTTTCTATTGGTTCTCCTAAGCGCTTTGCGGGAAAGTTTATATGGTCTAGATGCCTCAAAGGAGCCATGAAACGATTTTTCTACTTTCGCTGAATGCTACTTTGAGTCACTCCGTAGCGTTACAAAGCGATTAACCTTGCCTTAGTTTTTCTTTCTAGGCAACGGCAGTCGCCAAAGAAATTCCAGAAATATGAGCATCGTTCATCCCCTCAACTCGGAGCCAGAACAAGCATCCGCGTGGCCCAGTGCCTATACTTCGTTTCAGCTTCGGTCCAGACGCAGCCAAAGCTACAAGCGCGAGCTCCGGGCTTTCAGCATCCCTGCCAAGCACGCGCGCTCGTGCAGTGCAAGCACTGTTCCGGACCACATGCTCGCGCTTGTAGCATCGGCTGCGTCTGGACCGAAGCTGAAACGAAGTATATATCCTATGTCGCCAAAGTTAATCATAGCCACGCGCTGGGGTCGGCAAAGTAGAAAGCGCGCGCTGGGCTCCAGGCATTGTTAGAGTTCGGCTCTTCTCATCACAGCTGCAGTGCTTGGACACGAGCAACTACGCGAATGTCCGCCGAGGCATTGATTGTTACCAGCCGAAGTGGAGTGCTCCCGCAGTTCCTTTGTCCAATCCAGTAACCGCGTTCGACTGGCGTCAGGCGGGTGGTTTCAATCCCCCAATTACGTCATCAAGCTTTGCGAAGGCATTGCAAGGCTGAAAGATACGGTCCCTTTTCATCCTCGCGCTTTCAACGCGACAAAGAAGCTTCTGAATCAGTGGCGGTTCGTGCGAGTATTCTTGGGCTTGACTACAGAAGTTGTACGCGTTTGCAAAATTATGAACATTTCAATTCAATATCTTTTCATGACGCATTTAAGACGCAGTCGAATTGCTCGTCCGTTATGAGAAAAAATAAACATGTTTGTTACAGACATAATTAGATTTTTCTGCGGACACACCTCAAGCAGGTTAGAAGTCATGTCTGCTTGATGCACATGTGTGCTTCGAACACGTAAGCAGACAGTTTTTGTGTGACCAATGTGACGGAACTGTCGTATACAAGGAAGAAACCCGCCTCAGACAGTGTATGCAGACTGTCTTTTGTAGTGTGTGTAGTAGTGTGATCCCGGCTCTAGGCTTCCAGGAGATTCTTTATGTTGTTTATCAGATGTAAGTTACGACCGCACGTTGTATTTTTGTGGGGGGTACCTAAACACTCACCGGACAATGTATATATAGCACTACACTTGGTTTCTTGACTGTGCGCAGAGCGTACCTGCGGCAAGATGTGGTCATTCGAGCGCCTGATGAACCACGCCATGAGGGGCGACGCGGACCGTGAGATCCCGGGCACCCAGAGGCGGGCTCAGTGCCAGGATCTCTGCTTGCGGGAGCGTGGCTTCGTGTGCCGCTCGGCCACCTACCAGCAGTCGCGGCTGCTCTGCCGCCTTTTCAGCGAGAACAGGCGCACCAGGGCTTCCCTCTTCGGCAAGACCAGCGAGGACATTGACTACCTCGAGAACATGTGCGCCCCCGGTGAGCCGCAGTTCCGCGTCGGGTTAGCCTTTGGTAGCGGGAGCTGCATGCATGCAGCTTGTGAGATGGGACCACTGAACGCAACTTGTGGGATATGACTACTAAACGCAACAAGTAAGATGACACCACTGATTGCCACTTGTGGAATGGGACCACCATGCGACCTGTGGAGTGGCACCACTACACACAACTTGTAAGATGGAACCACTATGTTCAATTTGTGAGGTGGAACCATCAAACGCAACTTTGTGGAATGGGACCACTACACGCAATTTGAGGGGCAGGGTCACTACACGCATGTTGTGAGATCGGGCCACCAAATTCAACTTGTGAGATGGGATCACTGAACGTAACTTGTGGGATGCGATTACTACAAATTGTGAGATGGGGCCACTAAGTGCAACTTGTAAGATGGGACCACTGAATTCCACTTACGGGACGGAAATGCTCGTATCCCACCGTTTCCTCTCCTCATTACTTAGCGACGTCAAAACCTCAATATTTTGCGATATTCTTGATCTATGGGAGTCGCCGTGTTCATCTGGCCATGCGTAGCCAGACGGCGGACAACCTTTCTGCAGAGCCCTCAACGTGCCAATACAAGGAGAATGTGGATCGCTTCCTGCCGATCATCGACCGACTAGGCCACGCGTACAGCCTCGCCGAGTGCCAGCGGCAGTGCGACCTGGAGCGGCAGTTCAACTGCAGGGCCGTCAACTTCGAGACGGTGCACCGGGACTGCGCCCTGAGCAGCGAGGACACGCAAATCACGCCCCTGGGCACAGCTGCCATGATCTACCGGAGGTACTCCGTGTACAGCGAGAAGGGCACCTGCGAACAAGGTCTGTGGTAGCATTGTTTCCGTTGTAATAATTGTGTCCTGTGTATATTTAGCCAGCCGGAAGTTAGTAAGCGTCAATAGGAGCTTGGTGTCTCCGCTGTAGTTGAGAAATTTTGCCACAGCAGTAGCACTGCAGCCTGAGGTTTTTAACGAGCGTCACGCTGTAGTAATATGCGACCGCACGCCGGTACGATGCTCATTCAGATCGAAACGTTGTATTATATTGATTGTGCGTTGAAACTTCGGCCGTTCCTCTTTGCGGAAAAGGCCATATGTTGTCTTTGCGAGAGAAGGTCCAAGTTCTGAGAATGCCAGAAAATTTGGTAGCCCTCCCTCTAGCTTCCAATGCCTCATGCAGCATCTTGCCAGGAAGTTCCCATCTTTGCGCCTGGCACTTTTCAGTGAGCGTGCAGTGCAACCAGCAAGACATGCTGTTGGCCATGAACTTCGACACTCCGTTTCACGGTCGGGTGTACGCCAAGGGAAACCCGGCCCAGTGCTTCGTCGTTGGAAACGGACAAAACACGCTGCAATTTGCGGTGTCCCTGGGCACGCGTTGTGGAACCCTGCAGGAGGTAAGGAGAGCCCAGACACATCTATAGTCAGAGATAGTAAGAGAGGCAACGCGTGGTGGAGACAATTATAGCTCCTAGCACTAGACAATAAGGATGACAAAGGACGAGTCGCAAAGCTAAAAGTGTGGGCAGAATAGGTCACCCCTGCGTTTCTTAAACTCTCAGTGACTTATCATTTTTATGAGCAATTTTCTTTGAAAAGCTAAATGAACTTCTGCTCCCTTCGGGAAAAAGCTAACTTTTGCAGAGAGGAGTACTAGAACGAATTTTGGTGCTCAGTCGCTAAAGTTATGGCTAGGCCGAAGATTTTCCGGTTTTAGCCGAAAAACATTGATAAACATCTGTCCGTGTCAAAGTTACCAAATCGGATATTTTTCATCCAGCTAGGATTGTTTTTGTGGAAAACCTTTGCTCTTAGACTTCGACTCTTAAAGGGCAACTCCGCTCAATTCCGAAAAATTTAGGCTTACATGTGATTCAAATTCACAAAGCACTACTAAACAACTCTACGTCTTCGGATTCGCGAAATGTGGAATATTATTTGTGTAATCCTAATTTAAACATCAGCTGATACCGAAACCGAAACTTCGGTTGCGTCAGGCAATATTGGTCTCGGGTCGTCAGAGTCATGGCCACGTCACGTCGAACCACGTGGTCTTGTGACGTTCGGGAGGGAGCGAGAAACAGGACACGCGACGCCCGGGCAGGTCGCTTCGCATGGCGTGGACGGTGATGGCCCGGGGGAGGGGGGGAAGGGGAGAAGACGAAAGAGGAGAAGGGGAGCAGAGAAACTGACCGATAAGCGCGCAGGGCAGCGCAAACTAGCGCATCCGCGTTACGGTGATCACGTGAACGCCAGGTCAGACAACACCGGGAGGAGAAACTGATGACGTCATCGTTCCTTTTCGCTCTGAGAAGTAAAAACAAACAAAACGTGAGAATGACGTAGTCATGCCTCTGACGTAGTGGCTCAATGTCGGCTGCTCCGACTCCGTGGCATTGACTGCGCTGATGATTGCGCCTCGCGCCGCACGCTAGAGTTGGCAGATTTCGGCGACTTGGCTCGCTTGAAGGTTTGCTGGCCAGTTTATTAAATATATAGACGGAATTAGATCGTAATATTTGACATGGGGTCTTCCTATATGATACTGAAGAGGGCTACATAGTTTTCTAAATATCAAAAATGAAGCGGAGTTGCCCTTTAAGCCGGGGTCACGCTGGTCATACATCTTTCAAAAGACAATCTTCAAGATGAGTGACAGCAATATCCCTGGTTCGAATGCCGCGTGCCAAGTTTCTCCTTGAACTCATTACCATGCGGTATTCGCACGGATCTCGCGGTGACTCGTGTTTGAATCTGTATGCGGACTGTCTTTTGTATGATGTATAAGCAGTGCAACCCCAATTTTACTTTTACAACGGAGCTGTTCATGGCTAGTTTCCCCAGGATCGTGTCCGTCCTCAAATGACCTGATGACGCAGAACTCTGGATAGCTACTGCCATCTATGAGCGACGGCGGCAACCTTTCGAGCCTTTCCACTCTGGCTTGCCGACTGGCGGCCGGCCATTACTTCATTCCCACCATAGTACAGCTTCGCTGGTCTTCCTTCTTCACCAAAGTGGAAAGGCTGAAAATTTTTTTCATTGGAGCCTTTATTCATAATCACCGTTTCTTGTGTACATTCGAAACAAATCACTGTAATACGGGAGTATTTGAAAGAAAAAAAAATAATGAGCTCCAAAATCCATTTGCCAATTTTCCGTACAAGTCAACGCCGGAAAATCTACAGCCTAGTTATGGCTAATACTCGTATGAAAAGAGTGTCGATCCACGGAAAACACGCTGATGTAATGAGAAGATATGGAAGAATCCCATTGAATGAACAACCTCAAAATACGCGTAAAAAATAATAATAATAATAAAAATTAAAAAAAACGATGTGTGTTTTGTCAGTTGTGAGAATTAGTTCTCAGAACTTGAACCTGCTGCATGTGCTCGTGCAATCCGTGCATAAGCAATGCACCGTGCCCGGTCGTTGCTATGGCTACTAAATAAGCGTCGCTTTAAAGTAGCGACACTACAGCCATCTGGGGGTTAAAATCATTGTGGCAATTTATCTTAAGCTTTATCTAAAATCGCAGAAAACGCTTCTTCGCCCTCCAGAAACGTTAAGAAAATTCACTACAGAGCAAGACGATATTACCTGAGCTTCCTAAGACCACATCTAGAGCTGAGGAAGTAAGATTTTTGAATTCTGACGATCGAGAGTTGCATGTACTCTTCACTAAGCACCAAGATGGCGGGGCCCACTAGCAGACCGGGGAACGGAGGGCCGACATTTAGAGGCTCTAGCCGTTGCCATTAGCGAATTTTAAGATCGTTCCGACACCGTTTACTGTTGTTGAAGCAGGGAACGAACGCCCCGTCCTCTTCAGGGGCTTGGTCTCACCATGGCCTCCGAGATTCTTGACTAGCAGAGCTCTTTTCTAACCGTTCCATTCGTCGGAAAAAAAGATAGAAAAGAAAAAAGACTCGAGCTTGTTTCCGCCGCGTGGTGGCGCTAGGTTCAGGTCCAAAAATCATCACAATCAACCTTGCTTTTGGCTTGCTGCCCGTGTAAAAAGGAGCTTAATTGTTTGTGTGAATTATAGTCTTTGCGTCTAATCACAACACACTTTACTTTTTCAAGGAAGCGGTTGTTCGAAATCTAAATGTTTTCTCTTCGAAAACCCGGAAAGATTTAAAATAAATGCACGCCGGATTGTTTTGAGAGGAACTGCGCGTCCAATAATTTTGGACGAAACATAGTGGCTAGTCAATGACTAGAATCAATAAAATTCCTAACTCCCCACTCCTCCCTTTGAATTTTTTTTCGAGACCGAGCAGGCGGAACGTCATTCTCATTATTGCTTTCGAGATCGCTTTACCGAATAGGAGGTAAAAGGGGTTCAGGTTCTTTGGTCTGGTCATTCCTTTCATACTTCAAATTACGTGGTTTCTTCCGTGATATCTTTGTTTGTTTAATTTTACCACGCTTTTCGTTCTGTCCTTGGTGTTTTTCTTAAGTGTTCGTGGGACGCCGTCTCTTCGTGACGGTGCTAACGACAGGGCTTTCGCGGCTTCGGCCCTTTCGCCACAATGGAATTTTGTGTCACATTCTTTCATACTGCTTACTGTTGATCAGGACCGGCGTGCTAGAAACCCCGTCTTAGCAAAGGCTGAGTGAAAGGAAGCACTACCAAGGCCTGGGCATTCGACGTTAACAAACATTCGAGCTTTGTGCCGTCTGCAAACGTTTAACGTTTAAGATATTATTATTATCAATGATAGTAATAATTTTTATCGGCTTAGGAGAGCCGCTCAAACGCAGAATGGCAACGAACAGCCCGCACGGAGGCCCCCTGTGCCACGTCTGAATGATGGCGACTATGTGACGATATAATATAGAAGGGGAGGACGACGGGTTCTTCTAATCGCCGCGAAAACCGGTGCCCGAGTTTCGGAAGTTCGAGGACAGTTGAGGCGAGTTAGCCAGGGAGTCGTGGTCGGTCTCGTGGTGCGACCGCTCACTTCGGCGAAAGCAGCGGGCTGCAGGAAGTGGCGCAGTCGAAGTGGACGGCTACCATCCCCAGAGCATTCATGTTCAGGGATTTAGACGTAGCGCCGCGGTCACCCCGTCTAGCTTCCTGCCATTGTTGTCATCGCCGTCCACGCTGCTGGCTTCAGCATCATCAACGGCTCTGTATTAGTACCATCTTGGAGAAGCTGTGCTATACGCTCCCTTCGAGTACCGGACATTTCATCGAACGCCGTTTCATCGAATTTCGCTTCATCGAATGCCGCTTCATCAGATGCCGCTTCGTCCAATAAGTGAAAGTTTCATCGAACGCCGTTTCATTGAAAGCCGTTTCACCCAATTTTGGAGCATTGCAGTACACTCTCAGAAAAAAGGGTGTATTCTTACACGCTTTGTCCCATATAATACACACAAAACTTTAATTCGACGTGCAGCGCCCTGTAATCGAACAGACGGCCCAAAATGTTACGAGGGGCTTGATAGCCGTGTGGTACAACCGATTAAAATAGCTAATGTACGTGTTACTGACTACAAATAAAATGATCGGGGTTTTCTTGGCCCTACTGCAAAAACTCGCGGTGTTTTTTATGTGGTCTTTGATACGTACTTTAGCTATTTAAAAAGTTATGTCGCACCGTTTCCAAGCGTCTCGTAAAACCTTGGGCCGTCTGTTCGATTGTGGGGGCTGTACGCCGAAATGAAGTTTTGGGGTGTATTATATGGGACAAAAGCGTGTAAGGTGATACCCCTTTCTTTTAGAGCGTACTTTTTAGATGCTTTACTTTCGCTTCTGAGTCGTGTCGTTTTTGCGCTGCTGTCAAATATCCAGAAATAGAACTACTACCCTGGTCACTTTTTCACCAAAATTTTGGTTACGGTATCAGAACAAGAGGACACTTGATTGGATATGCGAGCTGCTGATTTCAGAGAAGCTAATGTTCTCCGCCTCTTCATTTCCATCTTTGCTCACCCATGAGAGATACTTCCCGAAAAAAGTTCCTCGCTGTGCCTTTGCCATTTTGTATTTATATGTTTTGCGTTTTCCTTGATTTTATCTTAGGAGCTTCCTTTCTATGAACGTAGGTTAAAAACCGTCAGGTTCACGATTTTGCTGAATGCGACAAATGAGCAGGGAGGGGAAACACGTCTTTTTTTCTGTTTCATGCGACATGGAGATTGTTCAATAAAATGCGTATCTTCAATTACGAGGCTGCATCCTTCAAAGAGCGTGCCATCGCTGCACGCACGTGATGATCACAGGCTTAAAACAAAATGTCAAGGTGGGGTTTTGTTTTTGTTGGCCATATTGACAAACAACACAAAACATCAGTTATCATGAAAAAATAAATAAATAAAACTAGAAATGTAAGCGGCGAAGAAAATAATGTTCTATTATTTAGTTACCCACGCTGTACGAAAAT